ACAATGTGTTATTATATTTGTTTTAACATATTGAGGGGATTAGGAACATCACTGCCTTTAGGGTATTCATCACACAATTGTTCTTCTGGAAGATCCGGACGTCTTGCTCGCTAAAGAAGTGTCTCAGTGAGATTCTGACGTAAGCACTCCAGAACAGCACGTGATCTGTGACGTCTTGAATTATCTTTGTTTGTTTGTTTGTTGTTTAGCGCCGCACGCAGCAATATTCCAGCTATATGACGGCGGTCTGTAAAATAATCGAGTCTGGACCAGACAATCCAGTGATTGACATCATGAGCATCGATCCACGCAATTAGGATACGATGACATGTATCAACCAAGTCAGCGAGCCTGACCACACGATCCCGTTAGTCGACTTTTACAAAAAGCATAGTCGCCTTGTACGGTAAGCATGGGTTGCTGATGACCTATTCTACCCCGGTTTCACAGGAACAACATAAGTGTCAGTTCACCTCCACCTAAAAAACACAATTGTGGGTTCGAATCCCAGATCTGCCCCCTGATTATGTTTCCAGGTTTGTCAGCACCATAGGCGTACCTGTAGGTTTCACCAAAGAGGTACACCCAGCACCCAGTCCAGGACATAAGCGAGTACTGAACTGCTGCCGTGCCGCGTGTTTTAAGTATTTGCAATATGCTGCAGTCAATGTCACCTCGGGGGGCGGTCGGGTAGCCTAGTGGTTAAAGCGTTCGCTCGTCACGCCGAAGACCCGGGTTCGATTCCCGACATGGGTACAGTGTGTGAGGCCCATTTCTGGTGTCCCCCGCCGTGATATTGCTGGAATATTGCTAAAAGCGGCATACAACTACACTCACTCACTCACTCACTCACTCACTCACTCACTCACTCACTCACGCTCACTCGCTCACTCGCTCACTCGCTCACTCGCCCACCCGCCCATCCACCAACCCACCTGGTGATATAGAAGCGGAATGTAACGGTTATATAGAAGCGGTATGATAGGGATGTAATGGTTACGTAGAAGCTGTATGTAGGGGATGTAATGGTTACATAGAAGCTGTATGTTGGGGATGTAACGGTTACATAGAAGCTGTATGTTGGGGATGTGATCGTTATATAGAAGCTGTGTGTTAGGGATGTAATATTTATACAGAAGCTGCATGTTTGGGATGTGATGGTTATATAGAAGCTGCATGTTTGGGATGTAATATTTATATAGAAGCTGTATGTTGGGGATGTAATATTTATATAGAAGCTGTATGTTAGGAATGTAATATTTATATAAAAGCTGTATGTTAGGGATGTAACGGTCATATAGAAGCTGTATGTTAGGGATGTAACGGTTATATAGAAGCTGCATGTTGGGGATGTGATGGTTATATAGAAGCTGTGTGTTAGGGGTGTAATATTTATATAGAAGCTGTATGTTAGGGATGTAATGATTATATAGAAGCGGGATGTAATCGTTATATAGAAGCGGGATGTTGGGGATGTAATGTTTATATAGAAGCGGGATGTAATCATTATATAGGAGCGGTATGTTGGGGATGTAATGGTTGTATAGAAGTGGTATGTTAGGAATGTAACGGTTACTCGCCATTTTCATATGCAAATTACATGACATGGGGTAAGAACCCAAATGAAGCCACATCTGAGATCTGTGTTTCCGGAAACTCTTTCATTCAACCGCCAGTGTGTCATCCCTCTGGTACACGTCTATGACCTGCATCACTCGTACTTCAAGCTGAAATCCCTGAACCAAGCCGCGTTGTACATAGCCACTCACTCGGAAAACACATTTATCTTCTTGTGATATAAGGGATAGTTTCCGGACGGGTTTTCACACTCGCTCAGAATACACATGTCAGACATATTTCAAGATCAAGAGTTTTTGTGCAAGAGATCTGCCCTGGAGATTTACCCCTGGGAGATCGATTTAAAAAATTCAATCTAATATTTACTTACAGGACTTTTAGCACTTTAAGAGACGTTCCTCCGCCAGGCTACATAGTCGCAGATTATACCAATGCTTTTAAGAATATCTTTTCAAAGTCCTACACGCCAGCAAGAGATATTTTCGGTCCGTTTCCTAAGCTTCATGGAAAGTACGTTTAAAACATAAAATTGTTGATAAATATTGTTTAAAATTTCTTTTCTAGCTAAAATACGTGAAGCTCATTTCTGATGTTCCCCGCCATGATAGATCTAAAACCGGCGTAAAACAATGCCCCCAGAACCCAGTCCAGGACATAAGCGAGTACTGAACTACTGCCGTGCCGCGTGTTTTAAGTATTTGCAATATGCTGCAGTCAATGTCACCTCGGGGGGCGGTCGGGTAGCCTAGTGGTTGAAGCGTTCGCTCGTCACGCCGAAGACCCGGGTTCGATTCCCGACATGGGTACAGTGTGTGAGGCCCATTTCTGGTGTCCCCCGCCGTGATATTGCTGGAATATTGCTAAAAGCGGCATACAACTACACTCACTCACTCACTCACTCACTCACTCACTCACTCACTCACTCACTCACTCACTCACTCACTCACTCACTCACGCTCACTCGCTCACTCGCTCACTCGCTCACTCGCCCACCCGCCCATCCACCAACCCACCCGCTCACTCACTCACCCACTCACTCACTCACTCACTCACTCACTCACTCACTCACTCACTCACTCACTCACTCACTCACTCACTCACTCACTCACTCACTCACTCTTCCTTCATTGATGACTCTCAGCATCTTATTCTGATTAACATAAATCGTTATGACGTGTTTCGCGAACATCCGGTGCCATCGCCACTTGATAGTACTTATGCCTTGGTCGGGCAGAGATTTTTTTATAATCATAAAAATGGTTCTCTTACATTTATTGAAAGACAACACAAGCTGTCAAACGGAATTTTTTAATAGCACTTTATTCAAAGAAGAATGAAAAGAAATATATCAAGCTTAAATAAACTGGAATCCGGGATGGTCAGGAATCTAGGTAACCTTTCGTAAAAGCTAAAGTTCGAAGTATAGATATAAAGTATAAAGCGCACACATTCTTTGATTATAGGTTCGAGATATCTGTATTAAAACAAATTCAGTTTTTAGCATACATGTACTTGCTTTACCAGGCCAATTATGCAAAACAATAGTACGTATGAAAGGTCGTGAAGGAATAACTCATAATAAGATAATAGCAAATGATCACGATTAACCAAAATCAACACAACTAACATGATAGCATGGTTAATATAAAAAAACATAAAAAAACGTTCATAGGTATGAATAACCGCTGGACATGAAATGTGATTTGGGGTTATCGGGCCGCCTCTGTGGCCTAGTGGTAGGGCGTCCGCCCGGAGAGCGGAAGGTCCGGGGTTTAATCCCCGGCCGCGTCATACCAAAAGACGTTAAAAAATGGTATTTGTTGTTACCCTGTCTGGCGCTCGGCTAAAACAAGGACTGGTCGGCTCGGAGTCAGTATACTGTGTCTGAGTGGGGTATTCATGGTAAACTGCGGTATGGTATCTCAGTGGGCTAGCACTATATATCGGTATCAGTCCGGACTAGTAAAAGCAGCCACACAAACACACACACGTACATGCACGTCGCTATATAAGTGCAATAGTCTTGGACGCGACGTTAAACCCCATTTCACCTCACTTCACCTGGAGTTATCGATGTTAGTTTCATTGTAAGCATTTATTAACATAGTATCATTCATTGATAAGCACCATTTATGTACAAATTGTATTGAAAGTTAAAGATTTATCCACCCTTCTTGATCTGTACATTTAGGTTTAATAGAGAACTGCTTATATCACCAAAATAATGAACATATTGCATTGAATGCTACTGGCAGATTATGCACTCAATGGATACTGATCATATTAAGCGCGTTTGCTTACATGATGTCCGGATTTAGTCTAAGATTCCCATCTCCCACCAGCTGTGAACTTTCATTCCGACGTGAAGTAATAATAAGTTTTCGTATATCAAATTCCCCCGCCGCTGTGAAAAAATAAGCCCCGGTGTGATAACAAAAAGTAGAGGATATTTCATGTGTCGAGTGAAATATCATATATCTCTCATCGAGTGACGGGGGCACGGGTGGCCCAGTCGTTTAAGGCGCCGCGATTCGCTGTGCAGAGTTGCGTCCCCTGGACACGCCAGAAACCTATGATTGTGGGTTCGAATCCCTATTCACCCCGATTATGTTTCTAGGTTTGTCAGCACCATACCCGTGCTCGTGGGTTTCACCGAAGTGGTAAACGTCTGAGACCTGCATCATTTCGGGCTTTCCTCCCACATTAAGCTGACACGCCGTGATATAACTGGAATACTGTTAAAAGCGGCGTAAACCCAACTCACTCACTCATCGAGTGACAGGGAAAGGAGATATTTTCACGAGTGGCGTACGAGTCACTCGATAAGAGCAACGTGATATTTCACGAGACACAAGGAATATTCTATTTATTATATACTTTTTGTGTAGTTATTTACCGGAATATTAAATTATTTCATTACAAATGTAAAACCTTGAAACGTAAATTCTCCCTACCTTTCACATAGGGACGGTTTACCATCCCTTGTATTTGCGATTTAAAAAGTAGTTTCGTGTTGGCAAAATCTTAAAACATATATACAAAAGTATCCAAAAATATTTAGGGTCACGAAAATTCTTTATCATACATTTAGATATGATTATATACAAAATCAACAAAACATATTCTTGAAAACTTGGAGACCGCTGTTGGAAGCGAAAGAATACTCGCTGGTCAAGTAACAAAAATGGCGCTTTGCGAAACGAACAGTCTCGATTGACGAGTTAAATGAGAAATGTACAATTTATAACGAAAGATTTTCGAGAGAATAACAAACGGCAAAGAAGTGATATTAACTCCATAAAAGACCATCTGTCATTATTTTGCTTTGTTGAATGTGGAACTTACGTAAAAAGGACGTCAACAGTTTGTGTACGGGCTTGACATTTACGCTAAAGGGAGACAATTTAAGGGGAGGTAACTCTTGTATAACAATAGTTCCGTCAACGTGTTACTGCAGTGAAATATCAAGTGTTAGGTTCACTGCAATGAAAATATCACTTTACACTTCAGAAAAACCAGTCTTTCACACTGAAGTCTATAATAAAACCAGATGAGATTGATCTTTCTTCAGCTATGCTTATTAAATATTCGTTACTGAAGCAAAGTAACTCAATCTACATCATAAATTAATTATTAAAGACTGAAAGCAAAAGTTTTAAAACTTTAAAATGTTATAGAATAAGTTACACAACATCAGTTTATTTTGTTTTTAAAACACATACAAGAAATGGATGGCCTTAAACGAAATTTACCAATACGGTGCACTGCCCTACTTATCACCACACACGCACAGTATGAACAAAATATGTATTCAAGGAACTCTGGAATATGTGGCAGAACGAAACACTGACTTGTCACTCGTAACCCGTCTCCTGTATCCTGTCACTTGTACCTAACAGAGGCGACACCCAACTCATCCTTCCTCCCTCGTCGTCCGTCTTCTCTTCCGGGCTCCTCTCCTCGCTTGTATTGTCTGTTTCACTAGGCAGCAAGGGCATTGTTTCACAGACCACGTCACAGACGTCGGGGAGAGAGGCCGCATCTCCACTTCTTTGTTGAAGCTGACGTACCCAGTGATGGGGAACATTTTCATACAGAACATCTTCTTCATCACTGTCAATGGATGAAATGTCCATATTGACCCTAAAATCAAAATCAGCTGTACAGTACAATATTTTGCATTTAACTCACTCACTCACTCACTCACTCACTCACTCACTCACTCACTCGCTCGCCCACTCGCTCGCTCGCTCACCCACCCACCCTTCCATCCACTCACTCACTCACTCACTCACTCACTCACTCACTCACTCACTAACCCACTCACTCACCCGCCCATCCACCAACCCACCCACTCACCCACCCACCCACCCACAGACCCACCCACTCACTCACTCACTCACTCACTCACTCACTCACTCACTCACTCACTCACTCACTCACTCACTCACTCACTCACTCACTCACCTGTGCTTATTATTAAGCCGGTTCCAGCATGTCTCACACTGGATGTGTACTGGCTCGATGGGGCGAGTCAAGGTCTGTTCACATTGCAAGGCATCCAGGAGAATGCTGTGTATGAATATATACTGCTCCTGAAAATACATCACACAAACTCAAACTTTCGAAATTTAAACGTGTCTCTTGAATAAACATACAAAGTGGAAGTGTTGTACTTCAGGAATACAACAAGCATATTGATACCGAACCGATATTAATAGTGTCAGGACAACGTTAAACACATGGTCAACATTTGATAATGTCGTCAATGACAGCAATTTAACCAAAGTCCTTGTCAGTATTAACATTGGAACATTTTTATCCCGTTTGTTTTCTTTTAGAAGTAACGTAATAATATTATTGACTTTATAACGATTGTGGAGACTAAACAGTTATGCTGAATTTCTGCACACTAGGGTCAACATATTTTGAGGAAGAAAAATAGGAAGAAAGACACCGTCTACCGTTGACCTGACCTTGTAGAGGGGCGTCACAGCAATGTTTGCTGCATGCATAACCATTGGTCAACTTCTACCTCTGGTTGTACCAACAGTGTCACAGACGAGAAATCTTGTGTAACGTATGTGGTCAAAAGATTCCCGTGATTTTATTCTTAAGGTGTGATGTGGTTTTTCTTAACGTGAACAAAAACGTGAAACACTCCTGATACCTCTTCCTTGTTTCACAAAGAACATTGCATGCCAATAAAATATCTCGAAGGATTTGTATTCCGAATAACCTCCCTTGATTAGGGATTAATGCTGTTTGTTTGTTGTTTAACGCCGCACTCAGCAATATTCCAGCTATACGACGGCGGATCTGCAGATGCAACGCCAGAAAGGCAGACTATGTCATAAGTTAGCTGGACTTTCAGTCAGACATTTTAGTAATCTTTTAGAAATAAACTAACTTTTGTCTGAACCATTTTCATCCTCTCCCTACGGAAGTGTTGCACACAGTTGTAGACACAGACTCGGCCCTCGCTCCTTGCCTGGTCCAGTAAGTAGTCCAACGCTAAGAAAGTCCCAGTCCGTCCAACACCTGCACTGTATAGGGCAAGCAACACAATGCATACTTTGATAGGCATTTAGAAGTTGGACAAGCAACACAATGAATTCTTTGATAGGCATTTAGAAGTCGGACAAGCAACACAATGAATTCTTTGATAGGCATTTAGAAGTCGGACAAGCAACACAATGAATACTTTGATAGGCATTTAGAAGTTGGACAAGCAACACAATGAATTCTTTGATAGGCATTTAGAAGTCGGACAAGCAACACAATGAATTCTTTGATAGGCGTTTAGAAGTTGGGGGAGCATGAATACATGACACTTTTTAATGGAAAGCAACTTATTTTATTCTTTGTGCGACATTTCAGAGCTCATTCTTGCTTCACCTTTCACCTGATGAAGGAACAAGATGTAGCTCTGAAACGTCTTACAAAGAATAAAATAAGTTGCTTTTAATTAAAACGTGTCATATATTCAACACAATCAATTGCTTCAGCAAAAACGAACCTGCATATTCGTCAAATCCATTACTGTGTGAAAAGTGTGGATCGTACATATTGATAACAAACGTCAATGCCATATTTCATTTGATAGAAGAACTATTCCAAATATATTAATTCAAGAACCTTGAATCATTGCAAGTTACCAATTCTGACGACAGATGTGAGCATATGCTGCCGCTACACAAGTTAAGGGCAATGCCATCGTTAACGATTACGTTGTGTTTGTCTACTAATAAGATACATACGTTTTTTTATTGTACGCGAAATAGATATTTGGAATAAGTATCTGTTACCCTCAGTGAACCACTAATGGCCCTGACAGTGGTAGTGCCGTGTCCTTCACTACATTGTGGAAGTGTAATAGTGCTGTAGTGTCACTGGGAACCCCGTGGTCGGGCCACTGGGTGAAGTGGAACTGCTTGATCATTCTTGTCTCTGTACCTTCCTGTAATGACATAAAACAGCAACGTTTCAACCGGTGCGGAGAGCTCACTTGCATTATATTGCTAGGGGCGGGTCCATGGGTTGTAGGTATAATTTGTACTATATGGCTAGTGAGTGGAGGGTGTAGCTATCCCGCCTACTATGGGACCAGGGTGTGGAGGGTGTAGCTATTCCGCCTACTATAGGACCACGGAGTGGAGGGTGTAGCGATCCCGCCTTCTATAGGACCACGGGGTGGAGGGTGTAGCTATCCCACCTACTATAGGACCAGGGGGTGGAGGGTGTTGCTATCCCGCCTAATATAGGACCAGGGGGTGGAGGGTGTAGCTACCCCGCCTACTATAGGACCAGGGGGTGGATGGTGTAGCTATCCCGCCTACTAGAGGACCAATGGGTGGAGGGTGTAGCTATCCCGCCTACTATAGGACCAGGGGGTGGAGGGTGTAGCTTTCCCGCCTACTGTAGGACCAGGGGGTGGAGGGTGTAGCTATCCCGCCTACTATAGGACCAGGGGGTGGAGAGCGTAGATAACCCAACGACTACATCGCCAGGGTGTAGAGTTTGTAGGTAACCCACTTTCTATATGGCCAGTGGATGGTGTAGGTAACCAAACGAGTATATGGCCAGGGATTGGAGGTTGAATCTGCCCGACCTACTATATGGCAGATGGTCAGAATCGGAGGGTGTAGGTCACCTGTCATCCAGATTGCCAGGGATCGGATGGTGGAGGTCAGCTACCTCCCAAAGGCCACGGAGCGGAGGGTGTGGGTCACCTAACTTCCAGATGGCCGGGTGTCCAGGGAGCCCAGAAAATAGGTCATCTACCCTCCATATGTCCAGGAACCTTCCAAAAGGTCACCTACGTTCACACAGGCCATGGGGCGGAGGGTGTAGGTTACCTAACTTCCAGATAGCCAGCGGGTGTTTCAGGTCACCTACATTCCATATGAACAGGAAGCGCTGGGTGTAGGTCACCTAACTTCTAGGTGTCCAGGGAGCGGAGGGTGTGGGTCACCTAACTTCTAGGTGTTCAGGGAGCGGAGGGTGTAGGTCAACTACCTTCTAGCTGTTCAGGGAGCGGAGGGTGTAGGTCACCTACCTTCTAGGTGTTCAGGGAGCGGAGGGTGTGGGTCACCTACATTGTACCTTCTAGCTGTTCAGGGAGCGGAGGGTGTAGGTCAACTAACTTCTAGCTGTTCAGGGAGCGGAGGGTGTAGGTCACCTAACTTCTAGGTGTTCAGGGAGCGGAGGGTGTGGGTCACCTAACTTCTAGGTGTTCAGGGAGCGGAGGGTGTAGGTCACCTAACTTCTAGGTGTTCAGGGAGCGGAAGGTGTAGGTCAACTAACTTCTAGGTGTTCAGGGAGCGGAAGGTGTAGGTCACCTTACTTCTAGGTGTTCAGGGAGCGGAGGGTGTAGGTCAACTAACTTCTAGGTGTTCAAGGAGCGGAGGGTGTAGGTCACCTAACTTCTAGGTGTTTAGGGAGCGGAGGGTGTAGGTCACCTTACTTCTAGGTGTTCAGGGAGCGGAGGGTGTAGGTCACCTAACTTCTAGGTGTTCAGGGAGCGGAGGGTGTAGGTCACCTACCTTCTAGGTGTTCAGGGAGCGGAGGGTGTAGGTCACCTACCTTCTAGCTGTTCAGGGAGCGGAGGGTGTAGGTCACCTACCTTCTAGCTGTTCAGGGAGCGGAGGGTGTAGGTCACCTACCTTCTAGCTGTTCAGGGAGCGGAGGGTGTAGGTCACCTAACTTCTAGGTGTTCAGGGAGCGGAAGGTGTAGGTCACCTTACTTCTAGGTGTTCAGGGAGCGGAGGGTGTAGGTCAACTAACTTCTAGGTGTTCAGGGAGCGGAGGGTGTGGGTCACCTACCTTCTAGCTGTTCAGGGAGCGGAGGGTGTAGGTCACCTAACTTCTAGGTGTTCAAGGAGCGGAGGGTGTAGGTCACTTAACTTCTAGGTGTTCAGGGAGCGGAAGGTGTAGGTCACCTTACTTCTAGGTGTTCAGGGAGCGGAGGGTGTAGGTCACCTTACTTCTAGGTGTTCAGGGAGCGGAGGGTGTAGGTCACCTAACTTCCAGATCGCCATTGAGCGGAGGGTGTAGGTCACCTACATTGTACCTTCTAGGTGTTCACGGGGCGGAGGGTGTAGGTCAACTACCTTCTAGCTGTTCAGGGAGCGGAGGGTGTAGGTCACCTACATTGTACCTTCTAGGTGTTCAGGTAGCGGAGGGTGTAGGTCACCTACCTTCCAGATCGCCATTGAGCGGAGGGTGTAGGTCGCCTAACTTCAAGGTGTTCAGGGAGCGGAGGGTGTAGGTCACCTAACTTCCAGATGGCCAGCGGGTGTTTCAGGTCACCTACCTTCCATATGAACAGGAAGCGCTGGGTGTAGGTCACCTACCTTCCAGATCGCCATTGAGCGGAGGGTGTAGGTCTCGTAGACCTCCTCTTTCGCGCACTGAACACTTATACTGCCGTACATCGTGGACTCAGAGCTGCAGAATGGCCAGTACATGTAGCACTTCAACTGAGAGAATGCATGATATATATATACATAGGGTTATTAATGTAGTAGTACTATTATTTGCTCATAATACTTAATGTGATGATATCATGGTGTGTAAAGATGTTTGTATCGGCAGTCCAAAATATATTTGTACATGAACGTCGTCGATATCATCACTTCATGGTTGGAGACGTCTTGATTATTATTTTTTTGCCAGAAGCTGACATAATGTATTCTGACCTTCCCCGACTCCATGAGGTTAGTAACCATGACAATCTTGGCGGTGTTCAGTTGCCATATCATCCTCCAGAAGTCGTTCTTTGTGTGTTCCAAGGGCCCTGTAGAAAGGTTTTCAAGGCTATCTATAGCAAAAACGTTGCATGTCATTCCATGGCATTTGATTGGTTAACCAAGAGATCTGTCCTGTCCTTATGTTTTAATTCACCAAAAAATAATTAAATCACGGCCACTGGCGGACTTTTGATTCTTGATTGGCTGATAATAGAATGGGCGGGGCTTGTGTTGCATTATTGCGCTAAATGATGTCACCGATTTCGTACTTTTGATTTTTTGTGTTAATGGTGAAATAAGCAGTCTGTCAAGTTATTATTGTTGACGTATTTATTCATATGAATTGACTTTAATAAGTTTTAGCGTTTAGAGTTTGGAGTTTAACACGTTTATACGAGGCCATAAACGCAAGAAATATTGAAATGAATTCGTAACTATATCCATATTAAAGCGAAAATAAAAATTCCCGTAATGATGAGTTCGTTGTTGTGTTCCGATTGACATGAGTATTGGCATAGTCATATTAAACTAAGAAGCCATTTGAATGTCGACTTAGTAGGATAGACACGAGTATCTTTTGGTAGTATTATTTATTATATGCGTGGAGATGAGGAAGAAAGTAGTTTACCAAACCCATGAAAGTCTCCACGTACCTTGGGTTGCAACATAGCGGGTCTGGTCCATGTATCCCTGTAGGGGAGAGAGTCTCCATGAGTAACTGTGTAACTCCCAATACATTATTAAGCGACTTGGTTGAGCTGTGAGCATTATTCCAGAAATATCAGACCGCCTCCGTGGTCTAGTGGTAGAGCGTCCGCCCGGAGAGCGGAAGGTCCGGGGTTCGGTCCCCGACCGCGTCATACCAAAAGATGTTAAAAGATGGTACTTGTTGTTACCCTGTCTGGCGCTCGGCATTAAGGGGCTAAAACAAGGACTTGTCGGCTCGGAGTCAGTACACTGTGTCTGAGTGGGGTATTCATGTTAAAAATGATTTAATCCCTTAATGAGTTATGCCGAGCGCCAGACAGGGTAACAACAAGTACCATCTTTTAACGTTTGTTTGGTATGACGAGTTCGGGGATCGAACCCCGTACCTTCCGCTCTCCGGTCGGACGCTCTACCACTAGACCACGGAGGCGGTCTCACCACTGTAACTGTGTAGTGTAGTGTAGTGATGCCGGTCACAGACGAGTACATCCTTGGAGAAACCCCCGAGCTCGCTGTGATGCTTCCCAACCAAGTAACATTATTAGGACGAGTCTGAGGTTCGAATCCAAATACTCAACTCCAAATACTAGAACTACACTAAATACGAGAACCACAGTAAATACAAGAAACACTCTAAATACAAGAACCACAGTAAAAAAAGAAGCATCACTAGAAATACAAGAACCACAGTAAATACAAGAACCACACTAAATACGAGAACAACACTAAATACAAGAACCACAGTAAATACAAGAAAGACACTAAATACGAGAACCACACTAAATACAAGAACCACAGTAAATACAAGAAACACAGTAAATACAAGAACCACACTAAATACAAGAACTGCACTAAATACGAGAACCACACTAAATACAAGAACCACAGTAAATACAAGAAAACCACTAAATACGAGAACAACACTAAATAAAAGAACCACAGTAAATACTAGAAACACACTAAAAACGAGAACCACTCTAAATACAAGAACCACAGTAAATACAAGAAACACTCAATACGAGAACCACACTAAATACAAGGACCGCACTAAATACGAGAACCACACTAAATACAAGAACCACAGTAAATACAAGAAACACACTAAATACGAGAACAACACTAAATACAAGAACCACAGTAAATACTAGAAACACACTAAATACGAGAACAACACTAAATACAAGAACCACAGTAAATACTAGAAACACACTAAATACGAGAACCACAGGATACAAGAACCACAGTAAATACGAGAAACACACTAAATACGAGAACCACACTAAATACAAGAACCACAGTAAATACAAGAAACACACTAAATACGAGAACAACACTAAATACAAGAACCACAGTAAATACTAGAAACACACTAAATACGAGAACCACACTAAATAAAAGAACCAAAGTAAATACAAGAAAACCACTAAATACGAGAACAACACTAAATAAAAGAACCACAGTAAATACAAGAAACACACTAAAAACGAGAAACACACTAAATACAAGAAACACACTAAATACCAGAACCACACTAAATACTAGAACAACAGTAAATACAAGAACCACAGTAAATACAAGAACCACAGTAATTACAAGAACCACGGTAAATACAAGAACCACACCAAATACGAGAACCAAACTAAATACGAGAACCACAGTAAATACAAGAACCACACTAAATACAAGAACCACAGTAAATACAAGAACCACGGTAATAAAAGAACCACACTAAATACGAGAACCACACTAAATACAAGGACCGCACTAAATACGAGAACCACACTAAATACAAGAACCACAGTAAATACAAGAAACATATTAAATACGAGAACAACACTAAATACAAGAACCACACTGAATACGAGAAACATACTAAATACAGGAACCACAGGATACAAGAACCCCAGTAAATACAAGAACCACACTAAATACAAGAAACACACTAAATACAAGAACCACACTAAATACAAGAAACACAGTAAATACGAGAACCACACTAAATACAAGAACCATAGTAAATACCAGAACCACAGTAAATACAAGAACCACAGTAAATACCAGAACCACGGTTAATACAAGGACCACAGTAAATACCAGAACCACGGTAAATACAAGAACCACAGTAAATACAAGAACCACACTAAATACGAGAACCAAAGTAAATACGAGAACCACACTAAATACAAGAACCACAGTAAATACAAGAAACACCGTATATACGAGAACCACACTAAATACAAGAACCACAGTAAATACAAGAACCACAGTAAATACAAGAACCACGGTAAATACAAGAACCACGGTAAATACAAGAACCACACTAAATACGAGAACCACGGTAAATACAAGAACCACACTAAATACGAGAACCACGGTAAATACAAGAAACACAGTAAATACAAGAACCACAGTAAATACAAGAACCACGGTAAATACAAGAACCACGGTAAATACGAGAACCACAGTAAATACAACAACCACACTAAATACGAGAACCACAGTAAATACAAGAACCATAATAAATACGAGAACCATACTTAATACAAGAACCACACAAAATCTAATAAGAACCAACCTAAATTGTTCATAACTTACATCTATGTAAGAGGCGTTGATGTAGTCGCTGTCATCTTCATTTTCAATCTCAAGGGGCACTCGTGTAGCATCAACTGTAAATACCAAAAATCACATCTTATGCTGTTTTTGTGGCAGGATTGAACTGTTTCTCTGCAATAACAGTAGCAGTTGGTCGGACACACGTGTGAAATAACCAAATGGGACATGCATTTTATCAGATATCTATCCGCCATGTCTGTTTGATGCTACTGTTAAGGAACACGTGACATGGAGAATATTTCGAAAATAGGGTGATAAGGCTGACCAACATCAGAGAAAAGTCCTCCGTGTGAATCTCTATGTTTTAGATAAGATTAAACCTCGAAATTGAATGTGAAATTGAAAACGTCAACGCCAGAGACAACCAGTCTCGATTATCCACCAAAACAGACTCAATTTGGCGCAGAGGTGAGGTGAGGTGAAATGGGGTTTAACGTCGCGTCCAAGATTATTGCACTTATATAGTGACGTGCATGTACGTGTGTGTGTTTGTGTGGCTGCTTGTACTAGTCCGGACTGATGCCGATTTATAGCTCACTGAGATACCATGCCGCAGTTTAACATGAATACCCCACTCAGACACAGTATACTGACTCCGAGCCGACCAGTCCTTGCTTTAGCCCCTTAATGACGAGCGCCAGACAGGGTAACAACAAGTACCATCTTTTAACGTCTTTTGGTATGACGCGGCCGGGGATCGAACCCCTGGCCTTCCGCTCTCCGGGCGGACGCTCTACCACTAGACCACGGAGGCGGTCCGATTTGGCGCAGAAGCCCAAACAGTGAACATTATAATTATGAATCGCTGAAAAAATGGTGATAACACCTTGGCCCACTTGCACAAAGCGATCTTAGCGCTAAGATGATTGTAACTCCCATACTTTAACATAGTCTTAAGATAATCTTAGCGCTAAGATGGCTTTGTGCAAGTGGCCCCTGGTGTTCGCGAAAAGGATCAGCAATTCATAGATATCCATAAACTCCAATTTCGAACATTTACTCAAAGTAGAAGTTCCATAACGAACCGCAAAATTTTACCTATCTAAGATTAATTAAAGTAAGTATAAATTTCTTTTGTAAAATGACTCCAAATAAAGAGTACAGCAGGATATATAATTACATACATGGCAGGATATCTTTGTATCTGTTCTTCCCTTCGTTTTCGTCCAAAGTGGCACAATTTACTGGTTTTATATAAGAAGGCAGTTTCTAAAACAGAAACATAATAGCTTGTATGCGAGTGGTGTTTAAAGCCGCAGAGAGCATGGAGTAACTACTTGGATATTGACAAGGCAAATATGGTCGGGGTTTGAGACACAGAATCTGCCAAGTCACACAACACTCCCCTATCTATATATCAGGGAGTCCATGTGCAGGGATGTACCTTAAGGTCCTGGGTGCCGTTGTACAAACCAACCTTAACGCTACGACTGTCGTAAGTCTGTGTTATGGTATGGAAGTTACGATCACCTTAGCGCTAAGATCGCTTCGCACAACGGCACCCGGGTGTGTGGTTCGAATCTCACATCCATCCTATGTTAAGACCCCTCGCTGATAAACATATTTGCACCAAGGACGTAAGCCTCCAAATTTTAGCAGCGTTAACCACAGACCACCCACTCGCCATATAGCATCACATTATTTATTTATCGTACGGTTGAGTGAGTGTGTGAGTTGGATTTAACGCCGCTTTTAACAATATTCCAGTTATATCACGGCGTGTCAGCTTAACGTGGGAGGAAAGCCCGAAGTGATGCAGGTCTCAGACGTTTACCACTTCGGTGAAACCCACGAGCTGGTGTGGTGCTGACAAACCTAGAAACATAATCAGGGCGAACCGGGATTCGAACCAACAATAATAGGTTTCTGGCGTGCCCAAGGGACGCAAAACTGCGGCAATTAGACGACTGGGCCACCCGTGCCCCCCGTACGTTTGATGATGTATTCAGAGCCTTGAAGTATACCTACTTTAAACTCTCCCTCCATGACCTCCTTCGACGTGTCCCCGTTCAGCTCATCACACATGTCCCCGCCTAGTGTATAGACTGGAAGATGGACATATGATTATTATGTGCGGAATGCACACTTAGGTTGCATGTATACATTCGTTTGCAGAATTTTCGTCTTATCCTAATGTTAAGTCTCGTTATGTGTCTTACATTTCCGGTCACGAAGACACGCAGATTAACATGTATGTAACTTCGAAAACAGTAAAATCCCATAACATGCAGTAAAATCCCAATAACATGACACCTGTCATCTCCCCGGGGCAAGGGCGTTAACTGACTATTAAAGTACAGCTTATACCCTTGCCGAACTAGGCTGGAATTCAGGAGTTACATTTTGGCTGCATTAACGAGTCTATGCATGGTCCAATCAAAATCGCGTAACGAACTAGTCACATGTTTCGTAAACAACATAGATTTCAACATGCAGATTTCGGTCGACTGCAGGATTTGCAAAGCATGAGTACTGTCGACTGGGTGTCGACAGATATTTTGCAAACCTTTTCATGTTTTTAATCAAGGTGCTCGAGTGATCTGATGCACTTCGCGGGGTAAGACCCGTTTTATTACAATATAGATATTGTTTATCGATCAGATCGTCTTAATTGGGCGCCGCCATTTTGTTTGAGGCCAATGCAAGTGATATGAGAGGGGAATCTGATTGGTCAAAAGGAGGGACGTAGAAGGAACTCGTAATAGACACTGGTGGCGCTGCGATCGAGCCTGGAAATTCCAGCCTAGTTCGGCAAGGGTGGAAACTGGACTTGCCTCAGGAGGATGGACACTTGTAACACTGTCCTGTCCAGATATGAGGCCAAGGAAGTCGATGTAGTGGTATACCATGATGAAACTTCACATGAAATAGGCATAGTTCTGAATTACCTTCCACATGCACATACAGGAAACTACGTTTATAACGAACACGCTTATAACGAACTGACGGATATAACGAACTTACCTTTTGTCCCGACTTTTTGCTGTAGTTATGCTGTATATATGCTTGTGACGAACTACGGTTATTACGAACTAAAATTTGTGGTCACTTTGAGTTCGTTATAACCGTAGTTTACTGTATTGTGTTCAATTGGACCTCGAACATGGTGGGAAATTAAATTTTGTACAAATAACTTTATTAAATACATTTTATCCCTTTGTTGACAAGATCCTTTGATTGGGTCAAAATAAGGTATAAGGAACTCTCAAAAGTCATACTAACACCACATCGATTAGTTTAGATCGATTTTCTATTGGCTATATTCTTACCCGAACACGATGTGTAAGTTGGATTAGGAGTTCCTTTTTGGTTCTGCTGTCTTCCTTTGCGTCGCCTTTGTTTGAAAATAAAAGGTACATGGTATTCTTATGCATGTCGTGAAATCCGCAAGATGGGCGTGGATGATAAATAAACAAGACAACGTAAGGCTCGATCCCTTCTTCGTTGCGGGGCGGGTACTGTTGAACGTGACACGCATAGGGCTGACGATAAAAGTTCCATAAATGGTTTCAGGGACCAACATGGAACGACATACCCTTAATAACATGGTCCCCACTTTACGTCGCCTTGACGGTAAACGGTCATTCGTCACCACTCGCCCCTTTCCGTAACCTGCAAGAAGACTCATCCCCCTATCGATGAATGTAATGCGCGAGAATACGACAAACCAATCAGAATGCGCGTATGATTTCAAGTTCTATGTCAAAGAATCCGTCGGAAATAATTTTTGATTTTACATATGTCTTGCATCTAAAAATATACCAATGACCCAGTTAAATGTGTTCAATCATACTGTATAACTCCGCATGTCCAGATGTGCTTTAAATTGCATCTGAAATATATAAAATATATGGGGAAATATATGTGAACCATAACGCAACGAGTTGACAATTGTTTTAGGTATGCCCGTTTACTCTAAGACGGAACCCGGTCGCAAAAATGGCCATGAGAGGGAAACGAGTCGCTATTCGGCTTGTCCCGGAATAACACGAGTTGGTCACGAATGAGTAAACGGAAAAGCATGCAGTGAGGCTTTTATTAATGTTATTCTGCTTATGGGCGTGGTATTCTCTAATTGGAGTATCGGTGTATACACGAATACAATGAACCGCGCACCTTCTGTACACGATGACAACGAGGATGAGGATGGGGATGGCGACAAGTACAACATACGTGGCTTCAGCGCTGGCTCCTGTGTCTGAAACAAACGTGTTCATGATATACCAGTTGAAGGTCATGATCAAGTCACAGAATACATGCACAAATATATCCCGTATATATTGGCCTCTCGCTAACATCTGTGGCTGTCTGCTGGTCATTTAAACAGTGATTCAGTATCTAAATATATTGACTCAAAAGCTTTGGAAGACAATGGCAAAATAAATGTGTGTGTATCTGCGTATGTGTGTGTCTGCGTTTGTGTATGTCTACCTGTGCATGTCTGCGTTTGTCTGTGTATGTGTATCTGAGCTTGTGTGTATGTGCGCGTATGTGTCTCTCTCTCTGTATGTGTGTCTATGTCCGTGTGTATGTGTATGTCTGCGTGTGTATGTGTGTGTCTGCGTCTAATTGTATGTGCGAGTCTGTGTGTCTGCGTCTGTGTATGTATTTCTGTGTGCGTATCTGCGTGTGTGTCTGCGTCTAATTGTATGTGTGAGTCTGCGTCTGTCTATGTATGTGTGTGTGTGTGTGTCTGCGTCTGTGTATATATGTATGTGTATGTCTTCATCTTTGTGTATGGGTGCGTATTTGTGTGTGTGTGTGTGTGTGTGTGTGTGTGTGTGTGTGTGTGCTTGCGTCATGTGTATTTGTGTGTCTGCGTCTGTCTCTGTAGGTGTATTTCTGCATCTGTGTGTATGTGTGTATCTGCGTTTGTGTGTATGTGTGCGTATGTGTGTGTGCGTCTGTGTGAGTATGTGTGTGTCTGCGTCTGCGTATGTGTGTACATGTGTCTGCGTGTTTGTTACATTGTATATGCAAGTAATGCTATTAAATGTAAATCGTTTGGGCAATCGCATTTAGTTTGAACATATTCTTTTGCACATCTTCCGGAGGCCAGGGAGCTAACTGACTATAAAAGTCAAGTTCCTATCCTTGCCGAACTAGGCTTGATTTTCGTGAACTTCGTGACTCGATCGGCTATTACGAGTTCTGTCCCTTCTATGTCCCTCCTATTGACCAATCCGATTCCACATCTCATATCACTTCAAACAAAATGGCGGCTCCCAGTCAAGACGCTCTAATCGATAGTCAAGATCTATATTGTAACTAAACGAGTCCTACCTCGCAAAAAAGCGTCAAATTACTTGAGAACCTTGATTATACACGTAAAAAGATTTGGAAAATATCGATCGTAGCGTCACCAGTGGCTATTACGAGTTATGTCCATTCTATGTCTCTCCTAATGTCAATCAAATTCCACCTCTCGTTTCACATGCATTTGCTTCAAACAAAATGGCGGCGCCCAGTCAAGGCGATCTGATCAGTAATCAAAACCTATATTGTGATCAAACGGGTTTTACTTCGCGAAGTGCATCAAATCTCGTGAGCACTTTGATTAAAAACATGAAAATATTTGGAAAGTATCTGTTTACGACGAGTTGGCGTCACACAAGGATCACTGGGCTGTTGTGTATGTAGCGGCCATAAAATATCCGAGTCCTGTGATGGGATTCGAACCACGGACCTTCTGATCAGAGGTCGGACGCCTTGTCCACATGACCAAAGAGGTTAACCCAATCAGCAAGCTGACAAGGTAAGGATGTCATCTGTGGGACGACTCCACGCCCTGCTACATGTACAACAATGTCATATGAATTAAATTATAAATTTGGGACGCTGGCAGTCTTTCTAATCATCGAACTGCCAGTCAATGTCTTGAGTCTGTTTGCGGCATACCAAAGACATCATTACAGGTATGTCCACAAGAAGGACGAAGGCCAAATGAAACCCTCCAGACCCTCTAGACCCTCTTGACCCTCTAGACCATCTTGACCCTCAAGACCCTCTAGACCCTCCAGACCCTCTAGACCCTCCAGACCCTCTTGACCCTCTAGGCCCTCAAGACCCTCTGGAACTGTACAAAGTGCAAACTAGTTTACACTCTGTTCTGTTGAAAAAAGCAAATTATACACTTAGGGGAACATGAAATATAAATGTAAATACAAAGTATTAAAGAACGAAGATAACATCCTGTGACGGAACGTTTGTGTCTGAAACCACTACCTTCAGTTTACACGTGCCTCACACCGTAGCGCCAAACACATCAGTAGATGTCATTCCTGATTTTGACACTATAAAGGAAGGCCCATTAATCTCTGCGGACCATTATTTCTGTCAATTATTGATTAACTTTGCACTTCCCTGATAGGCGTGGTCGTGTCTGGTGACGTCGAAATGAACCTCAAGCCAATGTCAACCTGAGATCTCAGGTGTCACTATGACTGACCGAACCCCACTCCATATTGTGCAAAGAAGGTACCATCTGTACCATCGGGTCAACATACTGACACCCTATGTTGTCACCTTTGCAAGGCGTTTTCTGGACGAGAACGCCCTCGATCACCGTGCACTGATCGCCAATGCCCACCTCCAGCAGCACAACATCCATAGAATGCCTGGAACATTATAGGGAGACGTGTACGTCAACGTCATAGGCCGCCGACCACGATGGCTTACCTGGGCCAGGCGCTGCAAGAGGAGTGGGACAGACTCCCACAAATCGCTATTGGGAGGCTCATAAGCAGTATGCTCGTCGAGTGAATGGATGTTAGACAAATCGTGGCGGTATTTCGCACTACTGATCCAGAAACGTCAACTTTGAAATTACCCAAATTCTCCCTATCGCGGGCGTTCATAACATCTACTTTCATACATCACTACAGGTTGTAATGTGTTCCCAATTTGTTCATTATTATCATGGAACTGTTACTAAGAAAACTATATATGGTACCATTCTGGAAATTCTAAGTTATTTCTGAGTATTCTCTACCCTTTTGAAGAGTATATTTAAGGAATCTTTGCTAATGGATGGGTATACAAACAGTGAGATGACTACACCAAGCGATCCTCCATGTTTCGTCATAAACAGTAGTTAGTAAAACGAATTGGAGTTGTATGAAACGCGATCCAAACGTTTCTACCATAACTATCATAATACGAACCCACACATTTCCATCAACGTGAACAACTGTATTCACAAGTACCTGCTATGCCACCAACAACTTAAATTATGTCTAACTGACACCCGCCCATAATAGAATGATACATCCCTGTTACGCGACCATAACTGTCACAATACATCCCTGTAACACAACTAAAACTCTCACAATACATCCCTGTAACCCGACTATAACTCTCACAATACATCCCTGTAACCTGACCCCAACTGTCACAATACATACCTGAAACCCGACTATAACTCTCACAATACATCCCTTTAACCCGACTGTGACTGTCATAATACATCCCTGTAACCCGACTGTGACTGTCATAATACATCCCTGTAACCCGACTATTACTCTCACAATACATCCCTGTAACCTGACCCCAACTGTCACAATACATACCTGAAACCCGACTATAACTCTCACAATACATCCCTTTAACCCGACTGTGACTCTCACAATACATCCCTTTAACCCGACTGTGACTGTCATAATACATCCCTGTAACCCGACTGTGACTCTCACAATACATCCCTGTAACCCGACTATTACTCTCACAATACATCCCTGTAACCCGACCGTTACTCTCACAATACATCCCTGTAACCCGAGACCGCCTCCGTGGTCTTGTGGTAGAGCGTCCGCCCGGAGAGCGGAAGGTCCAGGGTTCGATCCCGGGCCGCGTCATACAAAAAGACGTTAAAAGATTGTACTTGTTGTTACCCTGTCTGGCGCTCGGCATTAAGGGTCTAAAACAAGGACTGGTCGGCTCGGAGTCAGTATACTGTGTCTGAGTGGGGTATTCATGTTAAACTGCGGCATGGTATTTCAGTGAGCTAGCACTATAAATCGGCATCAGTCCGGACTAGTACAAGCAGACACACACACACATACACGTGCATGCACGTCGCTATATAAGTGCAATAATCTTGGACGCGACGTTAAACCCCATTTCACCTCACCTCACCTGTAACCCGACTGTGACTGTCACAATACATCCCTGTAACCCGACTATTACTCTCACAATACATCCCTGTAACCCGACTATTACTCTCACAATACATCCCTGTAACCCGACTATTACTCTCACAATACATCCCTGTAACCCGACTATTACTCTCACAATACATCCCTGTAACCCGACTATTACTCTCACAATACATCCCTGTAACCCGACTATTACTCTCACAATACATCCCTGTAACCCGACTATTACTCTCACAATACATCCCTGTAACCCGACTATTACTCTCACAATACATCCCTGTAACCCGACTATTACTCTCACAATACATCCCTGTAACCCGACTATTACTCTCACAATACATCCCTGTAACCCGACTGTGACTGTCACAATACATCCCTGTAACCCGACTATTACTCTCACAATACATCCCTGTAACCCGACTGTGACTGTCACAATACATCCCTGTACCCCGACTATTACTCTCACAATACATCCCTGTAACCCGACTGTGACTGTCACAATACATCCCTGTAACCCGACTATTACTCTCACAATACATCCCTGTAACCCGACTATTACTCTCACAATACATCCCTGTAACCCGACTGTGACTGTCACAATACATCCCTGTAACCCGACTGTGACTGTCACAATACATCCCTGTAACCCGACTATTACTCTCACAATACATCCCTGTAACCCGACTATTACTCTCACAATACATCCCTGTAACCCGACTGTGACTGTCACAATACATCCCTGTACCCCGACTATTACTCTCACAATACATCCCTGTAACCCGACTGTGACTGTCACAATACATCCCTGTAACCCGACTATTACTCCCACAATACATCCCTGTAACCCGACTATTACTCTCACAATACATCCCTGTAACCCGACTGTGACTCTCACAATACATCCCTGTAACCCGACTATTTCTCTCACAATACATCCCTGTAACCCGACTATTACTCTCACAATACATCCCTGTAACCCGACTGTGACTGTCACAATACATCCCTGTAACCCGACTATTACTCTCACAATACATCCCTGTAACCCGACTATTACTCTCACAATACATCCCTGTAACCCGACTGTGACTGTCACAATACATCCCTGTAACCCGACTATTTCTCTCACAATACATCCCTGTAACCCGACTATTACTCTCACAATACATCCCTGTAACCCGACTGTGACTGTCACAATACATCCCTGTACCCCGACTATTACTCTCACAATACATCCCAGTAACCCGACCATAACTGTCACAATACATCCCTGTAACCCGATCATAACTGGCACAATACGTCCCTGTGAAACGAATATAACTTTCACAATACACCCATGTGAACCGACCATAACTGTCACAATACATCCCTGTAACCCGACTGTGACTGTCACAATACATCCCTGTAACCCGACCATAACTGTCACAATACATCCCTGTAACCCGACCCCAACTGTCACAATACATCCCTGTAACCCGACTATTACTCTCACAATACATCCCTGTAACCCGACTGTGACTGTCACAATACATCCCTGTAACCCGACCATAACTGTCACAATACATCCCTGTAACCCGACCATAACTGTCACAATACATCCCTGTAACCCGACTATTACTCTCACAATACATCCCTGTAACCCGACTGTGACTCTCACAATACATCCCTGTAACCCGACTGTGACTCTCACAATACATCCCTGTAACCCGACTGTGACTCTCACAATACATCCCTGTAGCCCGACTGTGACTGTCACAATACATCCCTGTTACCCGACTATTACTCTCACAATACATCCCTGTAACCCGACTATTACTCTCACAATACATCCCTGTAACCCGAGCATAACTGTAACAATACATCCCTGTAACCCGACCATAACTGGCACAATACGTCCCTGTGAAACGAATATAACTGTCACAATACACCCATGTGAACCGACCATAACTGTCACAATACATCCCTGTAACCCGACTATTACTCTCACAATACATCCCAGTAACCCGACCATAACTGTCACAATACATCCCTGTAACCCGATCATCACTTTCACAATACCTCCCTGTGAAACGCCTATAACTGCCACAATACACCCATGTGAACCGACCATAACTGTCACAATACATCCCTGTAACCCGACTTTACCTCTCACAATACATCCCAGTAACCCGACCATAACTGTCACAATACATCCCTGTAACCCGACCATAACTTGCACAATACGTCCCTGTGAAACGCCTATAACTGTCACAATACACCCATGTGAACCGACCATAACTGTCACAATACATCCCTGTAACCCGACTATTACTCTTACAATACATCCCTGTAACCCGACCATAACTTTCACAATACATTCCTGTAACCCGACCACAACTGGCACAATACATCCCTGTGAAACGCCTATAACTGGCACAATACACCCATGTGAACCGGTTATTACTGTCACAATACATCCCTGTAACCCGACTTTATCTCTCACAATACATCCCTGTAACCCGACCATAACTGTCCCAATACATCCCTGTAACACAACTAAAACTCTCACAATACATACCTGAAACCCGACTATAACTGTCACAATACATCCCTGTAACCCGACCATAACGGTCACAATACATCCCTGTAACCCGACTTTACCTCTCACAATACATCCCTGTAACCCGACTTTACCTCTCACAATACATCCCTGTAACCGGCCATAACTGTCACAATACATCCCTGTAACCCGACTGTGACTGTCACAATACATCCCTGTAACCGGCCATAACTGTAACAATACATCCCTGTAACCGGCCATAACTGTCATAATACATCCCTGTAACCGGCCATAACTGTCACAACTCACCCGGCTCTCATCACATTCACACTATGCACCTCTGTCACAATACGTCCCCGTAACGCCCTCCTCAACAACTCCTTGTAACTTGCCAGGTATTAGTCACAATAACACCCTGTACCCACCGACACCCGTCACAAAACGTCCCCGTAACACCCTCCTCAACAACTCCTTGTAACTCGCCAGGTATTAGTCACAATAACACCCTGTACCCACCGACACCCGTCACAATACGTCCCCGTAACACCCTCCTCAACAACTCCTTGTAACTCGCCAGGTATTAGTCACAATAACACCCTGTACCCACCGACACCCGTCACAATACGTCCCCGTAACGCCCTCCTCAACAACTCCTTGTAACTCGCCAGGTATTAGTCACAATAACACCTTGTACCTACCGACACCCGTCAAAATATGTCCCCGTAACGCCCTCCTCAACAACTCCTTGTAACTCGCCAGGTATTAGTCACAATAACACCCTGTACCCACCGACACCCGTCACAAAACGTCCCCTTAACGCCCTCCTCAACAACTCCTTGTAACTCGCCAGGTATTAGTCACAATAACACCTTGTACCTACCGACACCCGTCAAAATATGTCCCCGTAACGCCCTCCTCAACAACTCCTTGTAACTCGCCAGGTATTAGTCACAATAACACCTTGTACCTACCGACACCCGTCAAAATATGTCCCCGTAACGCCCTCCTCAACAACTCCTTGTAACTCGCCAGGTATTAGTCACAATAACACCTTGTACCTACCGACACCCGTCAAAATATGTCCCCGTAACGCCCTCCTCAACAACTCCTTGTAACTCGCCAGGTATTAGTCACAATAACACCTTGTACCTACCGACACCCGTCAAAATATGTCCCCGTAACGCCCTCCTCAACAACTCCTTGTAACTCGCCAGGTATTAGTCACAATAACACCTTGTACCTACCGACACCCGTCAAAATATGTCCCCGTAACGCCCTCCTCAACAACTCCTTGTAACTCGCCAGGTATTAGTCACAATAACACCTTGTACCTACCGACACCCGTCAAAATATGTCCCCGTAACGCCCTCCTCAACAACTCCTTGTAACTCGCCAGGTATTAGTCACAATAACACCTTGTACCTACCGACACCCGTCAAAATATGTCCCCGTAACGCCCTCCTCAACAACTCCTTGTAACTCGCCAGGTATTAGTCACAATAACACCTTGTACCCACCGACACCCGTCACAATGCGCCCCACCCGCCAACCACTCTCGAAGGTAACCCCCAAGTGAACCGCCTGATGCCGTCACACTTGTTGTGAATCTGTAGCTCATTCATCGTTATAGAAACAGCAGTAAGTATACGTATGATGCACAGACGTGTACTACCAACCACAATAAGCTAAAACGGATATCATTCATATTAGCGATTACTACGAAAGCCCGTTAGGACCATATTGGTATTTTGTATTGGTAAGAGACTTTTAAAAGCCGTGGGGCGAGAATAAAGTCGTCATTATGAAAACAAAACTCGTAATTACGAGAATAGAGTCGTCTTTATGAAAACAAAACACGTAATTACGAGAATAAAGTCGTCATTATGAAAACAAAAGTCGTAAATACGATTTTTCTCTCGTAAGGTAACATCACACTTGTCCCCTGTGTAACCTGGCTCACAGCTGCCACACTCCCCCGTGTCTTTATCACATCCATCTCTACAGTTGGGGGGACAGGTAACATCACACTTGTCCCCTGTGTAACCTGGCTCACAGCTGCCACACTCCCCCGTGTCTTTATCACATCCATCTCTACAGTTGGGGGGACAGGTAACATCACACTTGTCCCCCATGTAACCTGGCTCACAGCTGTCACACTCCCCAGTGATCCTATTACATCCATCTGTACAGTTGGAGGAACAAGGTGTTCTACAGTGTGGACCGTAATACCGGGGATTCTGACACGGTCCTGTACAATCATCACCATAACGTTCTAACCCGGAATCCCAACGGATTAGTCCATGTAGACATTATGTTGATATGACCCTCTTCAATCAGTGTCCGTATTCCAAAGTAAAGACAGAGAAACATAAAATAATCCCTATCGTATTTCTAGTATCACAACTGTCACAACCCCCTCTCTTTGTGACACCAGCAAATGCACAACATAACTACTTTCGAAGTGTTTATTCCAATGTGGGATTGAAATGAATAAAATAATATGTGTACAACTTACCTGTCAAGATGCACCCACCGTCATGATTACATCCTTCCCTACAGGTGGTAGGACAGGAGATAATACAGTTCTTCCCATTGTTCCCTGGTTTACAACCCTCACACTTTCCGATCCCCTTATCACATCCATCGCTACAGCTTGAGGGACAGGTGTCATTACAGTTCTTCCCTCTGTAACCCGACACGCAGCTGACACACTCCCTCGTGTCTTTGGTACATCCATCTTTACAGTTGGGGGGACAGGTAACATCACACTTGTCCCCTGTGTTACCTGGTTCACAGCTACCACACTCCCCCGTGTCTTTATCACATTCATCGCTACAGTTGGGGGGACAGGTAACATCACACTTGTCCCCTGTGTAACCTGGCTCACAGCTGCCACACTCCCCCGTGTCTTTATCACATCCATCTCTACAGTTGGGGGGACAGGTAACATCACACTTGTCCCCCATGTAACCTGGCTCACAGCTGTCACACTCCCCAGTGATCCTATTACATCCATCTGTACAGTTGGAGGAACAAGGTGTTCTACAGTGTGGACCGTAATACCGGGGATTCTGACACGGTCCTGTACAATCATCACCATAACGTTCTAACCCGGAATCCCAACGGATTAGTCCATGTAGACATTATGTTGATATGACCCTCTTCAATCAGTGTCCGTATTCCAAAGTAAAGACAGAGAAACATAAAATAATCCCTATCGTATTTCTAGTATCACAACTGTCACAACCCCCTCTCTTTGTGACACCAGCAAATGCACAACATAACTACTTTCGAAGTGTTTATTCCAATGTGGGATTGAAATGAATAAAATAATATGTGTACAACTTACCTGTCAAGATGCACCCACCGTCATGATTACATCCTTCCCTACAGGTGGTAGGACAGGAGATAATACAGTTCTTCCCATTGTTCCCTGGTTTACAACCCTCACACTTTCCGATCCCCTTATCACATCCATCGCTACAGCTTGAGGGACAGGTGTCATTACAGTTCTTCCCTCTGTAACCCGACACGCAGCTGACACACTCCCTCGTGTCTTTGGTACATCCATCTTTACAGTTGGGGGGACAGGTAACATCACACTTGTCCCCTGTGTTACCTGGTTCACAGCTACCACACTCCCCCGTGTCTTTATCACATTCATCGCTACAGTTGGGGGGACAGGTAACATCACACTTGTCCCCTGTGTAACCTGGCTCACAGCTGCCACACTCCCCCGTGATCCTATTACATCCATCTCTACAGTTGGGGGGGCAGGTGTCATTACAGTTCTTTCCTCTGTAACCCGGCTCACAGCTGTCACACTCCCCCGTGCCTTTATCACATCCATCTCTACAGTTGGGGGGACAGGTAACATCACACTTGTCCCCTGTGTAACCTGGCTCACAGCTGCCACACTCCCCCGTGATCCGATTACATTCATCTGTACAGCTCGAGGAACAAGGTTTTGTACAGTTTTGACCGTAATACCGGGGATTCTGACACGGTCCTGTACAACCATCACCATAACGTTCACACTGTGTACAGGCTGTAGGACAGTTCATACCACAGTTATCTCCCTTCTTGCCGGCCACACATCCCTCTGTACACACAACACGGGTGTTGTCCATCTGACAGCGAGAGTTGAGACAGGTGTCTGGACAGTCATGTTCACACTGTTTACCATAGAACCTGGAGTCCCGACACCGACACTCTCCAGATGACGTCACACTGACACAGCGTGGTGAGCACACACCGTCAACACAGGTCACGTTGTTACCGTCACAGTTGCTGCATGGTGTGCTTTCTGGGGATGCTGTGATATAAATTGGTAGAACAATCATAGAAACACACATACATTGTTAAAAATGATATAACACATTTCTTAATACAACAAAATACATGCAAAGTAGTTTGTTATCGCCCTTTGGACAATGCACACTTTCTACACTTATTAAATCTGTTGTTCCTGATATCTTACTAAATGTTAAAGATAAACAGAGCGATTACTCCGGGGAAAAGAAAATATACACTTGAAAATTTGATTAAATCTAAAACTGACAAACGTTACTTGGCTGAACACAGCCACTTGCTGTAACATAATCATTGATGCGATGCAAGCAGTATGGCCTCTGATACCCGTATCAAATACATCACCATCGAATAACCATTTCTTGTTTGTATAATTATTTCCACCCTAAAACCCAGATGAGCGTACACTTGCTTTTGCTGGCCAGCTAATTTCAAGTACAGTAAGGCGGTCGGGTAGCCGAGTGGTTAAAGCGTTCGCTCGTCACGCCGAAGACCCGGGTTCGAATCCCGACATGGGTACAATGTGTGAAGCCCATTTCTGGTGTCCCCCGCCGTGATATTGCTGGAATATTGCTAAAAGCGGCGTAAAACCATATTCACTCACTCACTCAAGTACAGTATATTACGTCATTAAATCTTACTGCATGGGATCCTTGGACCAATCAGGATGATTACAGAGGACAAGGTAGAGAGCCACGTGACCTGCATTCTATCCCCATGGATTATAAACAATACAGGGATGTTCCATGTACAGCCTTGTCTCCACAGCAGCTCATACCCTGTATGCTGGAGAGGGGATGGGTACAGGCGCCAGGTTACCTGCAACAGAGTCACACAGTCAAGTGTATCGGTGCTTTCTTATGGGAAACCTAATACCGATTTGGGCGGTGTTTATAGATTGTCGATGGGTCCATAGCTAAGAAAACGTATCATCTTATCTGCTTGTGTCAAGTCTGTATCATAATAAATAGACTAATAGTTCTCTCAAATCCGCTTAATGTGGGAGGAAAGCCCGAAGTGATGCAGATCTCAGACGTTTACCACTTCGGTGAAACCCACGAGCACGGGTGTGGTGCTGACAAACCTGGAAACATAATCGGGGAGAATCGTGATTCGAACCCACAATCATAGATTTCTGGCGTGTTCAAGGGACGCAACTCTGCATAGCGAATCGCGGGGCCTAAGAGGACTGGGCCACCCGTGCCCCCGCGGTGTGTATGTAGTGTCTTTGAAGGCTGGTCAAAAGTTCAAACAAAACCAACAAATGTGAAAGTGTTTTCGAACCCACATTGTCGCACAGAAGCCTTTGCAAGTCAAGAGGTGTGGGAAGAGGCATTGTCATGAAGTAGTAGAACTCCAGCAATCAGCATCTCTCGTAGATTTTCTTTAATATAATTTCTCAGGCGATGAGGCAAATCAGCATAGTAGGCACCGGTAATCGTCTTTTAACTTTCTAAGTAATCAACAAGGATCACACACTTTGCATCCCAGAATACAGTGGCCATAACCTCCTTCACTGATCTTGAAGACTTTAGTTTCTTTGGGGCCGGAGAAGTAGGATGGTGCTCTTTCATAGATTGACATTTTGACTCGGGATCAAATTGGTAAACCCATGATTCATCGCCCGTTACTAATTCTTTGACAAAATCCTCCTCAATAAGCTCTAAATTGTCTCTCGTAATGTCAGTTCCTTTTGCCTCAAGATCAGAATTTTGAAACTGTGTCACCCAACGAGTAGATATCTTATTCACATGTAAATGTTCATGAATATTAGTTTTCAGTGGATCCATGGTTTAGACCTGTGTCTTCCTCAAGTTCAGCAATGGTAATACGTCTATCTGACAGTATATGTTTACTATCTCCTTGATTGAATCTTTATGGATGGAGTGAGTGAGTGAGTTGGGTTTAACGCCGCTTTTAACAGTATTCCAGTTATATCACGGCGTGTCAGCTTAATGTGGGAGGAAAGCCCGAAGTGATGCAGGTCTCAGACGTTTACCACTTCGGTGAAACCCACGAGCACGGGTCTTTATGGATGGAAGTTGAGGGACGTCCAGACCTGGGGTCATCATCAAGGCTTGTTCTCCCAGCCTTAAACATTACGTTCAACAGTTGGATAGCTAGGACCCTTGTCCTCATACACTTGTGACATGCGGTCATGAATTTCTTAGGTAGTACTATTCTCTAAAGTCAAAAACGTGACTGCTCGGTACTCGTTCTTTTCCATTTCTGCGTCCAACTGGAGCCCTACCACGTTCAACTTGCTGTCACTAATATAGAAACGGCCACAAGAGACCAAATACACTTGCAATGAACTACTCAAACAATGTACTACCTTAACTAGCGCACCTTGGTTATGGCCCATAATAAAGTTTGTTTAACTTTTTGACGAGCCCTCGTATGGGGATCGAACCCTGGCCGGCTTGACGAGCGAACACTCTACCGAGGGGCTACTCAAACAAGGAAGTACCTTTACCATAGCACGTACACGTCATTGCAATGATACAAGTATTAACCACAGCAAAGCATTCAAACATCCCCATGTTAAGCAGGGAACAGAAATGGGTTAGTCATACAAGGAAAATTCAAATATCCTTCCGCCTCATACAAACGCGTGTAGGACATATCATCACAATAGAGCTACCCCGGCTAGGATTTCCGAGCATTATGTAATTAGTTATAAAATGCATATTCTCGTTAAGTGCGAGCAACAAGGCAACATTTAAAATATTTTTAGCGTGAACTATAAAATTTAGATACAACCGTTTATTCATGTTTATCTGAGTTTTGTCCGTCTGCTTTGGGGAACGACGTTATAATATGGATACACTTTCTGAATTTCTATTGTACTCCGCAGTAGTTTTATTCTCATAAAACCAACGACAACCCGTTACCCGCAGTTTTCCTTCAATAAGACTCGCGTCTATGTTTATGAAGTGACCGCCTCCGTGGTCTAGTGGTAGAGCGTCCGCCAGGAGAGCGGAAGGTACGGGGCTCGATCCTCGGCCGTGTCATACCAAAAGACGTTTTAAGATGGTACTTGTTGTCACCATTCCTGGCGTTCGGCATTAAGGGGCTAAAACAAGGACTGTCGGATCGGAGTCAGTATACTGATTTGGTTGATGTATGTCATCGTATCCCAACTGCGTGGATCGATCCTCATGGTGTCAATCACTGGATTGTTTGCTACAAACTCGATTATTTACAGACCGCCGTCATATAGCTGGAATATTGGCGTGTGGCGTTAAACGACAAAGAAACACAACATGAGTCCCATAGAAGGACATGTCAAAAGATATAGCCGAGGCAGAAGGCGACCTCTTAAACACTTAAAGCAACACCCGGCCGCGTTATATCAAAAGGTGTTAAAAGATGTACTTGGCTAAAACAAGGACTGGTCGGCTCGGGGTCAGTATATTGTGTCTGAGTGGGGTATTCATGTTAAACTGCGGCATGGTATCTCATGGCTAGCACTATAAATCGGCATCAGTCCGGACTAGTACAAGCAGCCACAAACACACACACGTGCATGCACGTCGCTATATAAGTGCAATAATCTTGGACATTATGAAGTGTGTCGGCATTGACACTGACTGTCACCACCTTGACAGCATATGTTCAGACGGTGGCATATCTCAAATCGAGAAAAATCATTTGGCTTCTGTTGTTTCATGCTGAAAGCAGAGGCTTTTGACACCGACTTGTCACAAGCACGTGTTTATGTTTGTTTGTTTGTGTTTGCCACACTCATCAATATTCCAGCTATATGACGTCGGTCTGTAATTAATTGAATCTGGAGCAGACAATCCAGCGATTGACATCATGAGCATCGATCCGCGTAATTGGGATACGATGACATGCATCAACCAAGTCAGCGAGCCTGACCACCCGATCCCGTTAGTCGACAAGCATAGTCGCCTTTTACGGCAAGCATGGGTTGCTGAAGACCTTTCACGGGTTTACGAGTATATGAATTGCTAACGTGACAATATAATAAAGCCATGAGCAAATATCCATGTATGAAACAAAGATGGAGCACTACCTTCATCAGCTTCAGCACTAGAGACGTGAACTACGAGTACCTTGTGGCTGCTTCATTTGTAACAGAGCCAGCGTTTCACCTTCCGTGCATACATACCCGAGGACTAGTCATCTTTGTCCAAAATACATTTAGCGGTAATAATAGTTTCCCCTTCTGCATTTGACAGCATTATGATGCGGAAATAGTGACCATGCATTAGCTTGACGAACAGAAGTTTGTGTTGTAAAGGTTTTCACATCTTTTATGTTGCTGAGAGTGCATCCTTTATTGGGCATGAAATGAGCTACTTCCCTGTAACGAAGGTGTCAAAGACTTTAGAAACCGATTACCATTGCAAAGGGATTCAGTGGCAGAAAAGGTTCCCTGTATCTCATGTTTGTAGTGAGAGCCGAAAGCTGAGGATCGGGTTGTCAGAATGTGTGTCCTGGTTGATGGTGGCCCTCGTAGCCCGCGCCTTATGTAGCTACACACAATGTGTGTCCTGGTTGATGGTGTCTCATCGTAACCCGCGCCTTATGTAGCTACACACAATGTGTGTCCTGGTTGACGGTGTCTCATCGTAACCCGCGCCTTATGTAGCTACACACAATGTGTGTCCTGGTTGACGGTGTCATATCGTAACCAGCGCCTTATGTAGCTACACACAATGTGTGTCCTGGTTGACGGTGTCATATCGTAACCCGCGCCTTATGTAGCTTCACACAATGTGTGTCCTGGTTGACGGTGTCATATCGTAACCCGCGCCTTATGTAGCTTCACACAATGTGTGTCCTGGTTGATGTTGTCTCATCGTAACCCGCGCCTTATGTAGCTACACACAATGTGTGTCCTGGTTGACGGTGTCTCATCGTAACCCGCGCCTTATGTAGCTACACACAATGTGTGTCCTGGTTGACGGTGTCTCTTCGGAGCCCGCGCCTTATGTAGCTACATACAATGTGTGTCCTAGCTGACGGTGTCTCATCGTAACCCGCGCCTTATGTAGCTACACACAATGTGTGTCCTGGTTGACGGTGTCTCATCGTAACCCGCGCCTTATGTAGCTACACACAATGTGTGTCCTGGTTGACGGTGTCTCATCGTAACCCGCGCCTTATGTAGCTACACACAATGTGTGTCCTGGTTGACGGTGTCTCATCGTAACCCACGCCTTATGTAGCTACATACAATGTGTGTCCTAGCTGACGGTGTCTCATCGTAACCCGCGCCTTATGTAGCTACACACAATGTGTGTCCTGGTTGACGGTGTCTCATCGTAACCCGCGCCTTATGTAGCTACACACAATGTGTGCTCTGGTTGACGGTGTCTCATCGTAACCCGCGCCTTATGTAGCTACACACAATGTGTGCTCTGGTTGACGGTGTCTCGTCGTAACCCGCGCCTTATGTAGCTACACACAATGTGTGCTCTGGTTGACGGTGTCTCGTCGTAACCCGCGCCTTATGTAGCTACACACAATGTGTGTCCTAGCTGACGGTGTCTCATCGTAACCCACGCCTTATGTAGCTACACACAATGTGTGTCCTAGCTGACGGTGTCTCATCGTAACCCACGCCTTATGTAGCTACACACAATGTGTGTCCTGGTTGACGGTGCCCATCGTAACCCGCGCCTTATGTAGCTACACACAATGTGTGCTCTGGTTGACGGTGCCCATCGTAACCGAAATCTTATGTAGCTACACACAATGTGTGCTCTGGTTGACGGTGTCTCATCGTAACCCGCGCCTTATGTAGCTACACACAATGTGTGTCCTGGTTGAAGGTGTCTCATCTTAGCCTGCGCCTTATGTAGCTACACACAATGTGTGTCCTAGCTGACGGTGCCCATCGTAACCCGCGCCTTATGTAGCTACACACAATGTGTGCTCTGGTTGACGGTGCCCATCGTAACCCGAAACCTTATGTAGCTACACACAATGTGTGCTCTGGTTGACGGTGTTTCATCGTAGCCCGCACCTGATGTAGCTACACACAATGTGTGTCCTGGTTGAAGGTGCCTCATCGTCACTCGCACTCTCTGTAGCTACACACAATGTGTGTCCTAGCTGACGGTGTCTCGTCTGAACCCGCACCTTATATAGCTACACACAATGTGTGTCCTAGTTAACGGTGTCTCGTCTGAACCCGTATCTTATGTAGCTACACACAATGTGTGTCTCATTGTAACCCGCACCCTATGTAGCTACACACAATGTGTGTCTGCTTACGGTCTTGTCAGCTTTCAATGTCGCTGAAGGTTCACTCATTTATTAAGACGTCACAACAGTTGCTTCTCTTTGTGAAAATCAGTCACAATACCGGAAGGTTTCAAAAGTAACCTAAAGGGACCTAAATTTACAATCAAGTTACAGAAAAGGGTATCATCAGTCGGATCTTCTTAATCTTCTTAATAGGATATTATATTATAATAACATTAAAACATAGTCGTTTTTATCATTCCATACACTTTTACTGCCTCATAACTGGTTATTCGTCGTAATTAACATAGTATTACTTCCCTAGAATTGTCAAATAATGATGTGAATATAGATAATAATTAATTATGTGCCGGGTTGTTGAATATGATGGTTCCCTGTTCACATTTGAATACAGTATTTAATCTCTCTCTTTGTTGTTCGCTCATTTGGGCCATATTTCCTTCCCTATCTATTTTCAGATTTTTTATTCGATTTTGACTTTGTAAGCATCCTTCCTTTTTCCGCTTTGCAACAAAACATTTATTATGTCCCTTTCATAAAACCCCCACAAAAAACAACAACAAAAACCAAAAAAAAAGAAGAAAAAAAAGAACTTTGATGCGAGGCATCAACACATCAGCAACAAATTATCATGTCTTTATAAAAGTGACAAACAAATTAAATGTACAATAAAATATTTAAAAGTACTTAAAAGTATATGAACAATACTGATTACAATTAATTCCCTGTTTTACATATAACACCAGGTGTTTGAGAACGATACCTTACATGCCTCACACGCTGAATTTGATACAGCGAGGGAGGGAACGTGTATCCCTGTCGTCGACCCCGTTCGATTCGCTGTGTGGAGGTGAGTCAATTTGGCGTGTCTGAAGTTTAAGATTGTGGGTTCGAATCCCAGATTCGCCCTGATTATGATTCTTGGTTCCTAAAGAGTTTCGCAAAAGTGGTATATACCTGAGGCCTGCATCCCTTCGGAACCCGGGTTCGATTCCCCACATGGGTACAGTGTGTGAAGCCCATTTATGGTGTCCCCCGCCTTGATATTGCTGGAATATTGCTAAAAGCGGCGCTTTGAAGTATTGGGCATTAACCACGGACAAAAAATTCATGAATGTCTGAGGGGAAGAGCCGAAAATAAAAGTCTGAACCAATGGTGAAGAAGCCTTTGGAGCTAGGGGAGTTGGCTGTTTGTCAAATGTTATTCCCATGTATTTGACAAGTACATGAACACCAGGAACAGCAGATAGACACTTGTATGTTTGGGACTTCGTGTAGTACGTATCTCCAATGGAGCCATACTGGGTAGAGGAGAGACAACACTATTCACAAGATCACCAATTTCAAGTTTAACAATGAATCACAAGATTACAAATTTCAAGTTTTATTATGAATTCAACATCACAGTTTTGGAGCCACAGAATTAAGATATTGGACATAATTTATTTTAGGGTCAACTGTCAAAATTAGTACCACAAATTTAATGGTCACATCAGAAATGATAGTTTCAGTGTGAGTTATGTCTTGATCTTTTCGGGGTCCTTTTTATACCATGTTGATGTAATGTTCTGCAAATTCTGCATCAGTGGAGCTTTCTTCAAAGACAACTGCATTTGAATTCTTGCCATTCTCGTCACTATCGCTATCCATATTGAAGCGATTTTCAATAAACAACGAGCTCGCCAAAACAGTCAGCCAAACTAAAACCAACCACGTCGGGCGAGAGAAGCCCGTGCTACAACGAAAATTTAACACAATAACAGGATAAGCCACCAGTAAGATCCTGACTGTAATATAAACCTATTATTGATATACTAATCATATTTCAACCAGAAACGTGGAAATATAACGATATCTGACCCCATACAACAAAAACGGCGAGAGCTACTGACAACACGTGCTCGTCGGACCTCGCCGACAATCTGAAACGGTCTTCCTTCTTCGGGAATGACGTTCTATGTGGAGTGACGTCCCTTGGATTAACATGTCTGGCTTGACAACATGATCTGCTGTCTGAGGTCAACTAAAGACTTGTAAAGTAGAAGGGCCTTAATGTAGTAGGACAGAATGAAAGGGTATGGGTAAAAATACAACTTCAGCGCAAGGTCAAGTCATCTGGTTGTGAATGCCACCGAATCCCACTGTGAATGTCTTTGAATCCCTCTGTAAATGTCATTGATTTTCCCAGTCTGTGAATGTCACTGAATCTCTCTGTATGTGAATGTCATTAAATGTCTGTCTGTGAGTGTCACTAAATCTATCTGCCTGTAAATGTCAGCGAATCCCTCTGTAAATGCCACTGAATCCCTCTGTCTGTTAATGTCACTGAATCCCTTTGTAAATATCAGGGAATCCCTCTGTCTGTGAATGTTCCTGAATCCCTATGTCTGTAAATGTCACTGATTATCCCCCTGTAAATGTCAGGGAATCCCTCTGTCTGTGAATGTTCCTGAATCAATATGTCTGTAAATGCCACTGAATCCCTCTGTAAATGTCATGGAATCCCTCTGTCTGTACCTGCCAATACATCCATGTACCCGTGAAATCATTGAATCTCTGTCTGTTAATGTCACTGAATCCCTCTGAATCCATCTCTGTGTACATGGCATTGACTCCTTATATCTGTAAATTCATTGAATCTCTGTCTGTAGACGTCACTGAATCCCACTGTCTGTGAATGTTACTGAATCAATATGTCTGTAAATGACGCTGAATCCCTCTGTAAATGTAATTGAATCCCTATACCTGTAAATTCATTGAATATCTATCTGTGAATTTGACGGAATCCCTCTCTCTGTACATGCCAGTGAATCCCTCTATCAGACTATTCATTGAATCTGTTTGTGAGAGGGCAACCGATGTTGACAAATGTCTCTTGCGATTGGCATTAGGGGAATATCCATCGACTTTATACAACATGCAAACAGTGTGACTGTTGACAGTTGAAATGCTATGATTATGGCAAGATCCGTCCACTTCAACTGTTGGCGTCGATTCGGCTTCATTGCATTAATGCTTCATAATGGCAGCGATGGGATATCGTTGCATTTACGACATATTAATCAAATTTCAAATTTCAAAGGTAAAGAGCAAAATATGAAAAACGCAATACCAACTTCTTACAACATTAAGGATTTATTTCAATATTGAAATTGAAAGTAGAACCAATAATATGAGCTTCCACGTGATAAAATACATTAATGGTATCATTCATCCAAAGCCATCCACTTGTCGTGATAGTTATCCAATTTCTACTTTCCAGTTTATAAACTGTCTGATAGGGCTGCATAAAAATGAATTGGTCATGTATCTGAGACATATATAAAGTATATTGTGTTGAACCTCAAGTATGGTTGAGCGGTAGATGGACACTGATTTATATCTCTACGTGACATGTGTTTCTCTAAATAGGACAAACCGATACAAACACCATGCTTGGTCAACTGGAAATCAGGAGAAACTAGATGATCTTATTTATATCCATCAATCTGTCTTGCTCCCTTCAAAACCGTTTCCCTGAAAAGAAATAACATACATTTATAACATGGCTCCTTTGTCTTTCAGGATGCTCCAACTAACTGAAATGTTAGTTAAACACCACTTGGCAATGACGGAACTTCTTTTCTTTCCTATCATTACTCTATGCATGCATTTATGATTTGGTAGCTTTTCGTTCAACGAAAAGAACAGATGGAAACGAAATTACTATTATCTTGATGACGGCTATGCTTGATCATAATAGACCCAGCAACATGGGTAAGTAATGTTTCGGTGATTGATAAATGTGCTCGAGTAGGTACAAAATGAATAGTATAAGTTCCTGGGTCATGCATTTCAGACCCCGAGTCGGCAAAGAGGGGTGCACGTGCGAAAGGGTTCCTGAATATCATTCAAAATAACTTTAACAAGAAAATGTTTTTTAAGCGTTTTAGGTGCTGAATTTGCGCACATGGTTTTAATAGGTTAGAGCACTTGGACCATGGACCATAATGACAAATCTGACTCTAACTAACCCTTTTAAGGATTAGACACCAGGGCCCACTTGCACAAAGCGATCTTAGCGCTAAGATGATCGTAACTCCCATACTTTAGCATAGGCTTACAATAGTCTTAGCGCTAAGATCGCTTTGTGCAAGTGGGCCCAGGTCCTCGTGCTTTAACCAATACATAGTGCAAGACATCATAGGAGCATAAGCAAGTTGATGTGAGTTTAACTGCAAAGTTAAACTGAAGTGTTATTTGTCCTGTAAAGGGTCCAACCATCCTCTCCTTAGTAACTTAAGGTCAGCCTTATCCGCACAATTTGGATGAAGACGACTGAATCTTGTAGACACAGCAAATACCTAGTTGGTAGCACGTGTATACCCAGATCTGTTTCTGCAGTAACACTGACAAAACTGATGAGAAGTTGATGTTCTAATGCTGAACACATGACAGTCCACCGGATCTCTCCAATGACGAATACTGTTCAACCACGTACAGATAAGTTACAACCGAGAAGAAATTCTTCGAACAAATATTTAAGCGTCAGTACGGCTAAAGGTTAAACCATCCACAGATATCTTGTAACCGCGTTTAGCGAGAATCGGTGGAAGGCCCGCTACTAATATCTTAATGTCTACCAACTGAAACCCAGTATCAGGCATCGGGGCTCATCTCCCATCTCGCTGTGCAGCACGTTTCCAGCGGCATCACAACAACCTGTCATAAAGCCTGACTCCTGGGCCCACTTGCACAAAGCGACCTTAGCGCTACAACTATTGTAAGCCCATGTTAAAGCATGGGAGTTACGATCATCTTAGCGCTAAGATCGCTTTGTGCAAGTGGGCCCTGATCTAGCAGCATCTGAAGACAAACAGTTGTGTGGACCTATTCTGAACAGGGTTCTCATGGGGTATAAGTTGGTACCATTCAGCTTACCAGATCTCTTCCTCGCACATATAATGACCCTCAGGTACAGCCATTCCATTGAATCGTGAGTGGAGACTGAGAGAGTAGGCGCCCATGTTCTCAAAGTAGAACCAGTCCCCGATCTGGAGCTCGGGGAGAGGCCCTTCCTTCAGGACACAGTCACTGCCGTCACATGTCGGACCCCACAGGCTGGAGGTGAAGGTCACGTCACTAGCGGGTACCTGACATAACCATATACATATTAGAGTCAAATTCACACTGAGCGAGTGATTGGTTTTAACGCAGTTTTGAGAACTTTAAACAGGATTTAAGTTATTGCATAGCGTGTCGGAATGGACAGCTCGAATTGACCGTTTTTTGGAGGTTTATCAGTTTGGAGAAAGCCATGATCACAGGTACATCTGGGATTCAAACCCACAATCACCGGATTCACTGGTTACGGGTTTCTGTCACAAAAGGTCCTATGGCATTTAATTCTGCCAATTGAAACTATGGTCATCCTCAAATTAGAAAAGCATTTTACAAAAATGGCGGAAAAGAAAATTCGCTTCCACGGTAATAACCCCTTCACATTGCACAGGTCAGTTAGTGTCGAAATAGATTCATTTTTCTCTGAGGCCAAAATGGTTATACCAATGATCAAATTATTTTCTGAGCAGATATTTGTAAAAGTCATTATAAAATAGAACGCTTCTGAATAATCGCAATAATCGTTAGGTGCATGTAATATTTGGGTACACTGCCTCCCATTAATTGTGAAATTATTTAAACAGACAAAACGTGCGATCTCGGGCATAGTCGCAGAATGAAATTCCTTAGAAAATACAATTGAATATATTTATCTTAGATAAAACTTTCTTATCGTTTACATTTATCCAAATGACATATTTTGGTATTACTTTATAATTTATAGTTATGCAATGGGAATTATTATTAATCTGGTTTTATTGGTTTTGTACATAAAGTGTTCACCTTGACTAATGTAGGTATCATGCAAGTGTCTTCTGAGAGAACGAAGCTTAACGATCCATAGACACCGTCATTTATATAATACATATATGTTGGGGTGACGTCACGGGGCTTCTCCGGGTCCAAAGTCTTCACTGAGAATACAATAAATATATACCAGTCGTGTAAACATGTCAATTCAATTGCTGTGTTTTTGCAATTACTCTTTGGCATCAATTAAGGGATATTTTTGAATAATCACCGAACAAATTATTAAATTCATCAAATTGAAATATACTGATGATCAAAAGAAAGTACGCCGAGAATTTGTTTTTGAGAGATCAATAGTTTACGTTCAATGAAGGTGAGAAAGGTGATTGTGTTGTTCAACAGAACGTAACAAATAGAAAATCATCACAAGTTGCTGTATTTGGGGGATGCAGCACGAGTAAAATGACGTTGAGAAGACAACTTGCAATGCACGTGAAGTCAGTGAGTGAGTTGGGTTTAACGCTGATTTTAACATAATTCCAGTTATATCATTGCGTGTCAGCTTTATGTGAGAGTAAAGCCCAAAGTGATGCAGGCTTCAGACGTTTACCACTTTGGTGAAACCCATGAGCACGCGTATGGTGCTGACAAACCTAAAACATAACCTCTGCAAACCGGGATTCGAAATCGGAGGCACGCAACTCTGCACAGCGAATTGAGGCGCCTTAGACGACCGTGCCATTTCTGCTCCCAATGCACGTGAAGCATGATATTCGTGTACATAAGGGTATAAAAACGGTGGCATGGCAACCGAACGTTGTTAGTCAACAGTAAAATACCCGAGAACATAGCAAGGCTAACTGCTGAACAACGAGAGAAAGCAAGTGGTATGGTGTCGTCTGAGGCAAGTTACGCGCACGTCGCAAAAGTGAGGGAGTTTGGTTTTACGCCGCTTTTAGCAATATTCCAGCACTATCACGGCAGGGGACACCAGAAATGGGCTTCACACATTGTACCCATGTCGGGATCGAACCCGGGTCTTCGGCGTGACGAGCTAACACTTTAACCACTAGGCTACCCGACCGCCTTTCACGTCGCAAGAATCATGCAAACGAAGATCCCCAAGTTGATGTAGCATTACAGGGTGACTGGCAGAACTGCAGACAGGACACGAAGTGGAAGACCCCGTCTCACAACCATGGAGGACCGCTATCCCCGCACCTTGCACCTATGTCACAGATTCCTCACTGTGACGTCATCTGCATTGAACGTTTCATCAGTCATCACACCATACGTCGCCAACTTCGAGAGTCTGGTATCAAGACCTATCGACCATTCAGAGAAATGTAGCTGGCGAAGCAACATCGACTTCGGCGCTTACTTTGGGCACGCCAAGTTCAATGTTGGCAATGTCGTAAGTGGCAACGTGTGTTAGTTTCTGATGACAGAAGGTTCCAGCTGTTCAGAGCCGACGGGAGAACACATTCTTACTGAAATGGCGGGGAAAGAATGGTTTATATTCTTGAAACTGTGCCGTATGGCGGTAGCAGTGTGATGACTTGGAGAAGGATATGTGGCCGACGGACTGGCGGACTGGTCGTCATTGATGGAAGTCTTAATGCCCAACGTGACCTCGTGTTAGCCTCGTCATATTACCGTTCTTGCAGCTCAACCCCAGGATTTTGTTCCAACAGCATAATACACGATCTCAAACAGCTCGTGTTGTACAGTTTCTGGACACGAACAACGTCAATCCTCGCCATGGCTGACCATTTCATCAACCATACCGGCAAACGAACTCTGTCCAACGTCGTTCTCACAGCTGTTTATTTACACGTGGAAGCCAAACACATTGTTGACTCATTGCCATTCATTTTGCTACAGTAATGATCATGTTCACTCACATGTCATCCTGAGTGTTATCTGCGAAATCGCCCATTTTACCCTAGTGCCGTGTGGGATCTGATGTTGTCAGCTGATGATCAATATTGTGTTCCTAAGCTTTTGTAATACATTTGCATCAACATGTGGTTTGTAACTTATTTATCAGTTTGAAAATAGTATCGGCATACTTTCTTATGATTGTCACAATATGTACTATAAATGATTGCACTGATCTATGCTGGCTTCGTTCACCACGGGGGCGGTTGGGTAGCCGGTTAACGTTTTCGCTCGTCACGCCGAAGACCCGGGTTCGATTCTCGGCAAAAGTACAATGTGTGAAGCCTATTTCTTATGCCCCCCGCCGTGATATTGCTGGAATATTCCTAAAAGCGGCGTAAAACCACACTCTATCACTCGTTCACCACGTTACCTCACAACAACGAGAAAGCGTATTTGTGCATGCGTTGTGCTGCAGATCTCACTCGAGGGAAGTCTGGGCCAGCAAGGCCCCAAAACACCTGCTTGTCATAAGAGCTGAGGTTCGGGTCATAACAATGTGGAACCTTATTTCAAGGAGTCATGTTCATGTGAGCCTCCGATTTGCTTGTAAGAATCGATGTTTTACAGGCCACTGTGGTATAATTTTAACAGTCACTCACGCTCATTTAGATCTCTTTCCCCAACGACGGCCGTGCACTTTCTCTTTGCAATCACACTTGTCACTAAGGTGAAAGGCGATGCTGCAAAGAACCGCCCCGGTTCTGCCATGACCTTGACATTGGAGCTCACGGGAAAGAACTCGTCTAGAGATCTATTCAAGGCGGTGGCAACCTGGAAATAAAATAGCTATCAGTGAACTCATTCTTTCGCGCGTGCGTGCGTGCGTGCGTGCGTGCGTGCATGCATACCAGTTATTTTTTTGTGATTGGGACGTGGCAACTGTGTCAGCCCCCTATCACATGTCCACCCAAGTTCCATTTCCTACTTGGGTAGGATGCGCCCCTCCTTTCCCAAACTCCTGAATCCACCTAATTTATTACGCCATCTGGACCAGGACAGACAAGATGTTGTACCTTTTCAAAAGATACTGGTGCTCCTCTGTGTCCGTAGATACCTCCGCCAACGTCAAGAGTATGAAGAGTGAATCCCATCTTCGCTGCAATCCCAAACACACTGCTGGCTCTCTGTAGTGACGTGGCGAACACTTCCGGGTCCTTTACTCCGCTGCCCACGTGGAAACTGGTGGTGAGGGTGACACATAGGAAAGCAGAGACAATGTCATGTATTAACCAGCGCGGATACCGAATAATGGCAACGATGTTTAGCAAGATGGGGATCAGTTTAATCATGATGTAACGTTTGGAGCAGAAACATCGAACCAGGTTCTTCATAAAGGAGACCGCCTCCCTGGTCTAGTATTAGAGCGTCCGCCCGGAGAGCGGCAGCTTCGGGGTTCGATCCCCGGCCGCGTCATACCAAAAGACGTTAAAAGATGGTACTTGTTGTTACCCTGTCTGGCGCTCGGCATAAAGGGGCTAAAACAAGGACTGGTCGGCTCGGAGTCAGTATACTGTGTCTGAGTGGGGTATTCATGTTAAACTGAGGCATGGTATCTCAGTGAGCTAGCACTATAAATCGGCATCAGTCCGGACTGGTACAAGCAGCCACACACACACATACACGTGCATGCACGTCGCTATATAAGTGCAATAATCTTGGACGCGACGTTAAACCCAATTTCACCTCACCTCTTCATAAAGGACATAGATGACAACACGAGTTGCTGTCATATACTATTTTACAACGCGAGAGAAATCGTTTTAAAACGAGTTGTAAGATAATTGGTGTATGTCAGGCACGAGTGTAGTAATCTTGGTGATATACGCAAACTAAAATCTGGAAATTGATCTCAGGAATGTTTGATACAACTCTCAAATTGTACGCTTAAGGAGGTTAATGACTCGTTTTTCACACGAGAGCCCATCAGAAGAAAGTAGTGGTGGAGTGATTTGGTCGGAAAAGTAAGTTTCAAATCATAGCCCAGAAAAAACAATATTCGTTTATTAGAAAATGCTCACTTCTCATGATGTTTATCTTTTTCTCCGATATGACACCTCACCATGCAAAAAAGTTTTAGCCTCGCCAATCAGCGCTTAGGCTTCGAAATTCTCTGTACGAATGAGTGTCAAAATCAGACCAGCATAAACGAAGTTAAGCGGCCAGTTCCGAATGTAAATAATACAGGCCGCTCCATCATGTTCATGAGACTTTATACACCCTGTCGTTGCTAAAGCGTCATGGCATGTACACACAGAGTACCATCGGAGGCATATTGACGTTATGTGTATGTTTTCTTTTGTTAAAATTGAAATTTCCGAATCGAAGTGGTAATAAAACGAAACCGAATTGGTATAGAAAGGTGGCAAATAATTAACTCAATAACAGACACATGCTTAGTTTGAGTGGTCCAAGATCGCTTAAGATACGCCTGACGCGACCTTCTATGGATGGATACCAAAAGACGTTAAAAGATGGTACTTGTTGTAACCCTGTCTGGCGCTCGGCAATAAAGGGCTGAAACAAGGAGTGGTCAGTGAGCTAGCACTATAAATCGGCATCAGTCCGGACTAGAACAAGAGCGAGCGCGCGCACGCACGCACGCACACACACACGCGCCGCTATATAAGTGCAATAATCTTGGACGCGACGTTAAACCCCATTTCACCTCATCTTTTATGGAGGGGTTGTCCTATCTTCACACAATGATGAGATAAAGATATGTGTTTAATGAAAGTGGACAGGAAGGAATCAAGCGACTGACCTTACTCCTACAACGTCAAGATCAAGGTTTTTAGCTGTCCGCAGTAGGTCGCTGACGTCACCAGGGTGGCAGCCAAACTTGGCTGAGAGGTCGTACATAACTTTATTGCCAGCTGGGGGGACAATCCGAATTAGGAGTCTGGAAACATATGGAGACATATAATATTTAGATCACAGGGGTTTGTAATTTTTCTGTCCTGTATCCAAAGTAGAATAAACATGAAAAGGGATGACATTCTTGCCGATGTAAGAGACGTTGTGACATTGCACTAAAGCTGATGTATACATGTACGTATATCCTTGAATTGCAGGCAGTGATCGTCAGCAGGCAGTATATATATACCAATGCTTATATGGAGTAAATATAAATGGTCAATGCAAGAGAATAACCAGCCCAGATAATCTACCGAAACAGATTCCACTTGGCGTGAGCTTTACGCCACTTTTAGCAATATTCCAGCAATATCACGACGGGGGACACCAGAATGAGTTCACACATTGTACCCATGTCGGGAATCGAACCCGGGTCTTGAGCGTGACGAGCGAATGCTTTAACCACTAGGCTAACCACCGCCCCTCCACTTGGCGTAAAGGGCGAATAGCTGTGGAAATTATATGAATGGACCGAGGAGAGAGGACCTCATGGCATAAGCACGACATCATCGTGATGTGACAGTTCTGCGACTGATGTCTGAGCACATGAATCAGACATTTTAAGGAGCAGTCATAGCAAAGTATTTTTTATGTTTAGAAAATTGCCAAGAACTACTTTCAACACTATTTTGACTCCAAACCTAAGAGATCAGCATGTCATGTCTTGTCAACTTAAAACTAATCAACTCCGAGAATCCGAACCAAACATGTGTTCACTACAGGAGACACAAATAGTACTCTTCAGTACCAATATCAGGTATACCCGGTGGCTGTGAGCTTTCAATAGTATACATCTGTTATAATCTCATTAAGATCAGATCTTATTTCTCGCTATCCCTAAACAAAGATCTGAAGACATACCATTACGGGTCACGTCAGAACGACCTTTCATCCAACCAATCAGAGCGTCGTTTACCAGATCATGAAAGTGACAGTCGGAATGTGTTTTCTAATCATGCATCCTCGAAATATTTGACAGAGAGTATTCCGAACGACAGTTATGGGCTTTATGTCTGTATTCATACAATATAGACCATCTATGAGCCATTCCAGGATGTTCTTTTTATTAGTTTAAAAAATTATAATCGAGAATACGTCAAAATATGTTTCGAAGCGTGGTCGCCAGTTTGAAACTAGTGTCGTAAGGCTCGAGAAAACTGCCTTCTGATTGGCTAATGTCGATTTCATTGGCCGGTCAAAGTTCGCGAAAGGTCGTTCTGACGTTACCCGTAATGGGATGTCCTCAGATCTTTGTTTAGCGGTAGCGAAATGTAAGATCTGTTTTAATGAGATTGACATCTGTGATAAAAGACCGGGTAGCACAATGGCTAAGCGTTTGTTTTATTGTCACAGTAATTGTGATTTGTTATTCAGCACGGTCAAAAATAGCTTATGGTATAGCACAAAATCACATGCCTCCCCTTTCGGGAAATTTAAATAATGTAATCATCAACTTACGCCATTAGTCTCAGACGTACGTATCCGAGATTTACTTTAAACCCTTAAACCATAAAAAATCATATAGAATTTAAAATTACTATGACGAATCACCACTTTATACCCTGTCACTGGTTATAACGTAGTTCACTTTCACTCTTTCATATTTATCCGGACCGCCTCCGTGGTCTAATGGTAGAGCGTCCGCCCGGAGAGCGGAAGGTCCGGGGTTCGATCCCCAGCCGCGTCATACCAAATATGGTACTTGTTGTTACCCTGTCTGGCGCTCGGCATAAAGGGGCTAAAACAAGGATTGGTCGGCTCGGAGTCAGTATACTGTGTCTGAGTGGGGTATTCATGTTAAACTGTGGCATGGTATCTCAGTGTGCTAGCACTATAAATCGGCATCAGTCCGGACTAGTACAAGCAGCCACACACACACATACACGTGCATGCCATCGCTATATAAGTGTAATAATCTTGGACGCGACGTTAAACCCCATTTCACCTCATATTTATCAACTAACACATGCAATGTATGGGAGTGTATGGGAGTACATCTTGCTGCTGTTGCTTGTGTCCAAATAGATCTGGAAGCAGTTTCCTGCTTTTGACTACTGATTCAGATGTATATATGGTTACCGTGCATGTGGATACGTTGACTTGACCTTATAGAGTTCAGCCTCGTTGTCAAAGGTCATAAGATCTATGTTATTCCTTGCCGCATACTCAAGATGGGAAGTCTGCTTGCATGGGTTGGCATACACAACTCGGCCCGGGGCCACGCCCATCTGTAACACAGTCTCTATCTCGCACTGCAAATATAGAGATTAGACCATTGTAAGGAACGGATATAAAATAATAAAGTCCACGTTAGACCAATATCTTCTTTATATCAGTTTCAGACATAGTCCTGTCAGTGTCCCATGACAGTTCTTCAGTGTAACTGACAATGACATACTTATGATGACGTCATAAGTTACAACTGTGACGTCATAATGTATTTACACACTCCAGCGACGACAACCAAGTAATTTAACAATTGTATTAATATATCCTGGTAAGAACGAGCCGGGAAAATCAGTTTGGATCACTCGAAACGTGAAATGGTAAAATATTAAGGCTTAGAGATATTATGAAAATTTGAAACATTTTCAACATTTCTAAAAATAGTCATTTTTCCTCTTGCAGGTTTGTGATTTCTGCCATGATAAATAGTGTTTAAAGAGCGCCGGGTGGCAAAACCGATCAGTTAATAATTAGTACAAGATAGTACCTTGCTTGCACAGTCGAACCCCGCTCCAAGCTGGGACAGAACTCGTAGAAATATTGGATCAGCATTACACTTGACAGCTGCAGTGAATGGGGAACGTGCAAAGATAAATTATACAGTCAAGGTTCTCCCAACTACAAATACGAATCGTAAATGAATGCATTATTGATGATAAATATTAAGCATTTTATGTTACCTCTCAGGTATATACGAGTGTATCACTGCCTTGTGGTTGCCCGATTTAGAAAACTCCTTATAAGGACACAGATATTTCCCTTTTGAGTTGTGTGCACAATACATTCAAACTTTATTTAGTGATACAAAGGTATATTCGCGAATTTATCCAGCAAATAATGCTGATGTATTTGCGATCACTACTGTACAGCTTACATTCAACTTAATGCAAAGCTCGCATGCTATTTATAGCCCTAATGTATAGATTGGAGAGTCAATATGACGCAATTCAATGTCACACCACTTTGACATATTAAAAACTTGAACAAAATACATTGCCATGTGTCATCAACTATTTGTACTATTCAGAGCTTATGAAAAGCATGTGTTTATGATTCAATATGAAATAGTGATGATACCAGGTGTTCATGGAAAGGTGAGCTTATCCAGCCCCGCCTTTAGACCCCGTCACAAACACACGCAAAGGCAAGTTTATCCTTGACCTAAAAAAACCGGGAACATAAATTATGGTACGAGTCAAAATAGGGAATTGTATAGGTCATCATTGTGGTCATTCAAGGGTCAAATTTTGAAATGTCCTTTGCACGTCCACCACATGTTTACCAAATAAAACGGTTTTGAAAGCTTTGTTGGGGCCTTGAATGTTTTAAGTTTAATAAAAGCAACTTTTGAATCAGAGTATGACGCTCTGTGAAATGATCGATTGTACCTCAAACGTTTTGAATTGTAGACACCAAAGGCTGGAGCTGCTGGGATATGGCTCGACATGAAGGGAAAGTTGACTATTGTCATACAGTTTCACATTTCTTCTGGATTTTTATTTTGTCACTCTGAATCTTTATTCATAGATCCAAATATGAAACAGATGAGGCGGTTTCACTGGTCTCTATTATTTCTAGCTAAGGTGCCTAAGTCAATTGAAGGAAATTGGCTATTTGACCGTTATTGGATGAAATCGGATCATATATATATATATACCTGAACTTAACTTAAACTTCTTGGCTAAACACGATAAAAGGGAAATGTGTTTTCCGAGGTAAATGTGAATCTTATTAGTTTTGGGAAGGACCTGCTTGTAAATGAATATATGACGCCATTGTTGCCAGATCTACAGGAAACAACTGGTCCATCTAGAGCTATTCACATCACACAAAGCATTCACGGGCTTTTGCTCTTAGGATGGTGGATAAGTGCTCCAGATATAAGTTATACATATTACAATAAAAACTTGAATGTATCAAGAATTGAGGCAACTCCCCTACAAAGTAGGCTACAAAGTATCTTTTCAACAATAACTAAAACCTGCACTGCTGGTATTGAGCTGGCATTGAAATGAAAAACAAACAGAAATAATAGAAACTGTTTGTCGCTCTTGGCGTGGCTCCCCGTTCATGCTAAGGCTACTGGTGTATCTGGTCTAAATCCCATATGCAGGTCGCCGTCATAAAATCTATATTGCTGGTTACAACAACCATTCACTCTGAATGGATATATCAAGAACTAATCCCTCACCGTAGAACGGCGTCACCCGTGGCAGCAGTCTCCGCCAACGTTGGTAGTTGTTTACAAGGTCACCGAGATCGACAATGTAGAAAGCATCGTCACAACCCTGCAACACGTGGAACTGATAAACACGTGCTCTAGTATGAGACACAGTGAAGGGGTTCTCCTTTGGTATAACGTGTCTTTGTGCTTCGATCATGTCACACATTCTGACCATCCGATCCTCATGGTCATCTGGCGGCTGTCCCGGAGAGATATAGAATCTAAATGTACGGGTAATTCAAGATCCAATCATATAGTAGCAGTCGAAGGAGGAATAGATTGTTGGACGACTGTGACCTTTGGAGGCAAGTACAAACAGTTATAACAAACAGATACGAGGGGCGTAGTCACTGGGGGCTAAGTCTTGGCTGTACAGTTAAATCTCCCTCCCAACAGCCCAGACTTTGCCCACAGTGACTATTTCCTGTTCCGGCAAATGAAATCTGCCCTACGTGGAAGACGCTTCAAGGATGACGAGGACATAAAGGCTGCCACAGAGGCGTGGTTAGAGGGCCAATCTGCAGATTTCTATAAAAGTGGTATTAAAAGCTTGAAGGACAAATGGAATAAGTGTATTGAGGTGAATGGAGATTATATTGAAAAATAAAAGTTCAAAAGATATTCTGCGACTTGGTCTTATATTGAAGTTGCAAAACTTATTGAAAGCCCCTCGTATCATTGAACATTTTGTGATACAGATAATGTACTGAAAAATAGATTTCATCAATCTCGTGAAAATCCATATGTACAGGAAAAGGTTAAAAAACAGAGGATACATTATGCAACAACATAGTTGTACATCATTACAGATGGGTGAGCAAACGCAATAATGCTTGGTAAATATTATTAGGTAATACTTTCCGGTTTGTCCCCCAAAAGTATGTTGTGCCTGTTGTACATGAGGATGTCACAAGAGAAGTGAGTGAGTATGGTTTTACGCCGCTTTTAGCAATATTCCAGCAATATAACGGCGGGGACACCAGAAATGGGCTTCACACATTGTACCCATGTCGGGAATCGAACCCGGGTCTTCCGCATGACGAGCGAACGCTTTAACCACTAGGCTACCCGACCGTCCCCCTGTCACAAGAGGAAGTGACATAAAGATGTAAACGTATAAAGTACATGTGCATTGTATTTATATTTTAGTTGAGATCGTAAAGTGAATGTGGGTTCCTTGGCGAGATGAGAATGAAATCCAGGTGAACACTAATCCACGGACTGTTTATAATGTAGCGATGTGAGAAGGCATCAGTGGGTGGATTCGGCGCCTTATTATTGTCCATTATTATTAATTGAAAATAAGAAGCTAGGAATCATGAAAAATTGTGGGGATATGTTTTGAAGTGAAGACTACGATTTCATAAAAATATCCCTGAAAGTAATCATGATCCCAAACTTTCTTTGTTCAGTGTACTATTTAATGATATCACGTAACTTAACTGAGCTTTTGTTGTTCTGTTACCTTTTGATCCGCAGACCTGGCAATATCGGCAATTATGTCCAACTTGGAGCGACAAGGATGCGCTACATGGATCTGTTGTCCATCCATCAGGAACTGGCTGTGCATCCGGTCACACGAAGAATCTGAAATACGCCAACTGTTACGTCTCACGCCCATAACTCATAAGAAAGGCAACAGCATGCACTGTACACAAGCATATTATCAGTGTGGCAGGACAAAGTGAACGCACGTTGATGCATAACAGTGTCCATTCCAGCTTCGTCTGGCAAATGAGTGAGTGAGTGAGTGAGTGAGTGAGTGAGTGAGTGAGTGAGTGAGTGAGTGAGTGAGTGCACCTAATAAAGTTAAGATATATGTAATGCACTATGGGTAAGATGGCCTGGGATTCTGAATAAACTGAATCTGAATAATTGTCTGTACCATACCGAATTTGGCAGATTTCTCCACAGAGGTATTTACATCATTTCGGACTTTCCTCCCACATGGCGCATCGGGAAATGACCCAAAAGCTGCTCAAATTGGCATTCAATCACTCCTGGCAATGTAAGTGCATGTTTAAAAGTATACATGTATACAGGTAACACTCTGTGTCTCCACAACCTACGCGGCTTCCCCCCATCCTTAAGGTGTAAGGCCAACTGGACATACTCAATCAACACAACTCAACATGATTTGATATATTCAATGCAGCTTGAGCATAGACAGAAAAACAATACCACAGTTCTAAACCAGTACCACATGTAGAATGACTAATAATACAATTATTATACAATATCTATCTCTGTTGAATCACCATTTGTACAAACTTAACCCGTGAAGATACGGGGTAGAATAGGTCTTCCGCAACCCATGCTTGCCGTAAAAGGCGACTATGCTTGTCGTAAGAGGCGACTAACGGGATCGGGTGGTCAGGCCCGCTAACTTGATTGATGCATGTCAGTGATGCCAATGGCGTGGATCGATGCTCAGGATGTCAATCACTGGAATGTCTGGTCCAGACTCGATTATTTACAGACCGCCGTCATATAGATGGAATACTGCTGAGTGCCGCGTGAAACAACAAACAAATTGTACAAACTTAACGTCAACGGCACGAAACAACTGAAAACTAGCGTAGCATTTAAAAAGGCAGGTTTGGTGCACATCCGGTTTTTTTGGCAGATTGGAGGTGTGTCATACAATACTCACAGAAAGTATGCCTGTTCTGTTACTCTTCCGCTTACATGGTTTAGGGGCATACAGATAGCTATGTTCTGTGGGTTGTACCCGATACATACAGAGGTAGATATATGTAGTTTTTATATGGAAATATACACGGATTCTAAAAATAATTATGTTGTCACGTTAATCTGGATTGCTAAAAGCACGGCAAATACCAATCGTTCTTGTGAGCAATTATCTGCGCGTTTTGATTTGGTGGAACATTGTTGTCATTCACCCTTTGTACAAAGTGTGTATGTTCAGAATGATTGTTAGTCGTTTGGACGTCTAGCCTGGTTGCTTTATATATTTTTCATGAAATTTGGCGATTGACTTTTGGGATAAACAATTGGTCGAAGGATTTAAACTTACCGAAAGTGTTCGCCGATGTAAAACAGCTTGTCATCATTGGTCAAGAAATTGGTTATCAGCATGATATTTAAAGACTGTATCTGTGACAGACATCTTCGATACTATCAATCTGTAACTATCTGGTAACCTTCAGTATCAATTTGACCACACTGTTAACACTGATCACCTCCCTTGTATTTATTAAAACGTTGTCTCCGACATCAACATGATGGAAGGAATTTACGTTGTTTGTATGACAAAGGTGCGGTTTCCGGTTATCTAATTTGCATACTCATATCATTGGGGTATGACATACATGGTTTAATGTCATAGGCTTGTGTTACGGATACACATTTCAAATGATAAACGTCACTTTTCTATTATCAAAAATACCCATAGTAAAGTGACGTCGAAATGACTTAAGGTGTCAGGAACATAACAATGCCTAAATGCATAAATATCTACGAAATACAAAAATACTTGAGCGGTTATTAGACAAGAAGAATAGCATATTCCGATAAACAGAGTCGACTACACGATAGCATAGCATAGCATTTTCCCAGGTATCAACGCAATGTGAGCTACAGTTCATAGAGCCATATTCCCGAACGGAATATACAATACATGCAGGTACGTTCACACATAAGGGCAAATCTAGAGGGAATCCGCGCACCCCCATTTCAGTGTTAACCTGTCATGTGGTTTTGTTAACACGGGAAGTGTGTGCCTTTAAAATCACAGATACGCCCTTTGGTGCAAACTGTTTTACAATTGCCCAAATAATCAGATACAGGAAAAACATACTTAAGATCATGGTATGAAATGGTAATGCAGAAGTTTACTCTGTTTCTTGTTCAAATTTAGACATATCGGGATATCATGAAATCAGTCTGGTGAAAAAACATTTTATTGACACCAGCTCCCCTCTTTCCGGTGTAACATGAGGTTTGTTGTATTATTTTCGTACACAAACCAGAACTTCAGTAAGCATGTGAGATCCTACCTTATACCAGCTGTTCTCTCCAGTGACACTGGCATAAAACGTAAACATATTCTAATTCGTCGTGATGTTGCGCGAATGATAATATTTATGGGAATATTCAATGAATGGTACGATTTAATTACTGAATATAAATTTATAATAATCAGATCGTGACCAGGCCATTTGAGTAGTATAGGTAATGGGGGTTCTACCGCAACTCCACTGAGGCCAGATTTATATACCTATACTGCTACTACAGAGGGAACTTTTTATGTGTAAACGCTGATGCGATTCAACGATCGTCATGAGATTAAACTAAATTGTAATGAAAATATTCTCTATAATTTTTATTCATACGTATACCATTATTTTTAACAAAGTGATACTCAACAGTTCTTCGTTCATTTTACTGGGAGACCAGACTATAAACTCTTCTTGGTAATTGGAAAGAAACAATTGATGACCGTATTTGGTTGGTTTGACATCACTGATATAATATATACCTTGTGGTAATTCTCTCCATTTGATAATTTTGTCCCTGAGCATAAATATTTCGATAGCTTTTTCGAGTTCTTCCTTTGTTGGTTTGTAATTCTCCATTATTATATATTTACGTAAGCATTCTTCTAAATGTGATCTAATGATAGTAAGCAATCATTTTTAATCTCCAACCAGTTCTTTGGTTTTGGCACGGAATAATTGACGCGCTTGTTGTCTCCCCTGTTCTATGAACTTTTTTTTCTCGTCTTCGTTAATACCACTGGTCTTACGAGAATTGGATCGAATCTCTTGCTTCATTACATTGTATTTGGTGAGTTCTGACAGCACTAAACGAAACTCTTCCTCGAATATCTTACAATCCATCATTGCTGTTGAAATATGATCCTCAATGCTGTTCAACTTTGCTTCGGCGAGTATCCGAATATTATCATGTTTTAATGCTTTCTTTTGCAACCTACAAGAAATGAATTTTATCATTATTCCTGCCAGTCCTGAGACTCCGGCGGCCATTTCCATGCCAAGTACGATAGGCGCGGCGAATATAGTTGATAATAAATCGACACCGGCTACACTTTTTTACAGCCGGACGACTAAATAACATATGACCTGGGTTTTCTGGCAGGGGAGAGACTAACACACTTTTTCGTTTTGATGGGATATAAGCCCCGAGTACGATCCCACTATTTATTATCTTAGTTAAATTATGTACCTTACCCATCATCACATACGGTGGGGTAATGACGATTTTCAGCGGCCACTCGATGTTTGCTTCGACCATAGTCCATTTATTATCATCGTTGTGAGTAAGATTATACGAAGTGTTTTTATGGAGTCTACAAACGTCGACATCGGTTAAATCTCCTAGATTACCCGTGAGTGTAACTTCTTTCCGCTTGTATACATTATCTTGTAAGTGTAAAGCGTATAACTTACCATCGGTACCGGGTTTACCGAATCCTTCTGTGTCTCCGAGATCGGAAAGCGCAATTGTATTACATTGTCTGAGCGTTCCAGGGCCTGATGAATCAACCATTATTTATAATATGGAGTGTTACACTCAAGTATCCTATATGTACAGGTTCATGTTTTACATCTAATACAGACATTTTGAGGTATGAAATAATACCACGCTTTAATTTTTTATATTGTAATGATGAGAAATATTCCGCTCTACCGCTATTGTATTTTTCATCTTTGACTGGAACACATCTGAGTAGAGTTGAAGGACTTTCTAGTTGAATATAATCCGTCGTGCTTATTTGATCAAGATGGATGCACAACTCTTTATAGGGAACTCAATCGGGTAATTTAACCCCCCAAATGTTGTCTCGATTAATGTTAGTTCTCCTCTAAATCCAAGTGTAATTCCTAAGTTCAGGAAAAGCTTTACACCCTTTTCTCCAGCGTTCAAAATCAGCATCCCATTCGACTCATTTTGTGTGAGACTAATTCCATTAGGCTTAAAAATTTCATCATTGAGTGAGCATACACTGTAATACCCATCAGGTATAATAATGTATTTGTCAATAACATCGTTTTCACCTAATATATATATATCTCATTATTACCTCTTGCAGCACTTATATTGGTCCAACGTGGGTAATACGTTACATCGCAGAGAGCGACTTCAAGTTGTCCATCCGATAGTATGAAGCAGTTCAATAGACTGATCATTTGTTATGTGTAACATACATATTAAATATACAATAATACTATATCATTACTTAAATATGAAATCAACTTATATTACTAATCAGTCGATTTTAGTAAGTGCATCTGGTGCTAATTTTGTTGTTGAATTCCCTGATATCGTTGAAAAGTACAGGGTCACGGCAACTAGCGATAAAATGGTGCACGATTGGTTCCACAATCCGATGCAATTTTGGCAGAATCAGTTAAAATTTGCCATATGGTGTGCAACAACAGGATGTGGTGTATCTCATTATGCCCGAGGATTTGAACTAAATAAGTCTGTTTTATCATTTTACGTGTACTATTTTCGGAGCAATCAAGAAGTTATAACCGAATCCGATACTATAAACACATCATTAGATACATCAATTCAGAGGATACAGAAAACTTTAGAAC